GTGGGTGAACTGTGAGTACAGGAGGGGGCTAAGCACACACCCCTGAGGGGCCCCTGTGTTAAGGGTCAGCATGGCAGATAATGTTTTATTTTTATTTTAAATTCATTAAAATGCAAATAAATTTATAAAAATTTTTACATGCATTTTTCTGGATTTTTTTGTTTGTTATTCTGTCTCTCACTGTTCAAATAAACCTACCATTAAAATTATAGACTGATCATTTCTTTGTCAGTGGGCAAACGTACAAAATCAGCAGGGGATCAAATACTTTTTTCCCTCACTGTATACACACACATATACACACACACACACAAAACATGGATATTGACGCCACAAACACACACACACATAGACACACTTTCACACTCTTCACATACGCTGCTGCTACTCTGTTTATTATATATCCTGATTGCCTAGTCACTTTTACCCCTACCTACATGTATACTGTATTCCATCAATTACCTCAACTACCTCGTACCCCTGCACATTGACTCAGTACTGGTACTCCCTGTATATAGCCTCGTTATTGTTTTTATTGTGTTACTATTTCATTTTTATTTAGCAAATATTTGTCTTATTTTTTAACTCTGCATTATTGAGAATGGGCTCGTAAGTAAGCATTTCACTGTAAAGTCTACACCTGTTGTATTCGGCGCATATGACCAATAAGATTTGATTTGAGTTCCAGGATATTCCCCATCTGTCTTCCATTAGCTCTCCTCACCGTGTGGCTCTGGAAAATTCAGTGGCGGAAAAACATAGACTAGCTGGTCCCAGTGCTGAACACACATTGATAGATGATCCTGACGATTTAATCAGAGTACAAAATAACCCAAAACTGCACTACACTGTAAAATGGCCAAATTTTTCCTTCCTTAAACAGTGGAAAACATTCTCCCTGCACCACTGGTAGTCTGTGTTTATAACGGAGACATGATGTTCAACAGTCATAGTAACATAATGGGCCACAGCCCTGGGTTGTATTTCACAACGTACTTTCGCACAATTGCAATCACTCAAATAAAATGCTGAATATCTAGGTTCTTGTTTAAAATCTGCGTTTCTTATTTGAACAATTGCCTCACGTTTTAGCCTAACACATTTTGTTGTTTCCGAGTAATAACAAAGGTTATGGTCATATGGTGTGTTTCTGTCAGTGAGTGTGTGCTAGGCTAGCCCATGAATTTGGGTGTGTGGTGCCGATTAAGTACCAGCTAATTGTTTCAATCTTTTCTAATGCACTTATGGGTGGGGTATAGTCGGGGTTGGGGCGAAAACGAGACAACCACAGTCTTCAGGGGGACATTACATAAAGCAGATGTTGTTTAAGGAGGGTAAGCGAACCGAAAAAGAAAGGGCTTCGTAAACAGCAAGTGTGGACTAACAGTCAAGTGCTTACTTACCAGCAATGCAGAGAGAAAATTCTAGAAAAGTGAAACACGTGATAATAGAAGTAATAATAGATACACAATGAGTACCGATAATTTGGCTATATACAAGGTATCAGTATCGAGTCGATGTGCAGGGGTTCGGTTTCGGAAAATGAAATGCCAACAGTTACTCTAGTTAATTTTTGTTTATTTGGCTAAGTACGCAAAACAAAAAGGCACCCTATTTGTGGCCCAAGTCCAGTTTCTGTGACATCATTCACAATGTTCCTGGCATTATCTGTTGTGACAGGGATTGTTATGTTGGGCCTCTCAAGTAGAAGTCGAAAAAGTTGGACCCGTTCCGAAATGGACCTGGAGCTTTCTCAGCCGGACAAATATGCATAAATACATTTTTCAATATAGAGACCCAATATAGAGACCCGAGGACGACCAGTTCCGTATAGACATGGTCAGATCCGAGTGAGGGAAGCAGTAGAAAAGTCCATTTGTAAGCTACTTTATTAACCAGAGCTGATACAGCGCGAGGGAGAGCAGACGGAGGAGGGGCCTTGCGGTGTGTTACTGTGAGCGAGTGAAACGGGAGCAAGGAGGAGGGAGGGAGAGACAGAGAGACAGCAACCAACCATAACAAGCCCACTCGCGCTAGAATACTAACTTCTAGCTTGTCATAGCTAGGTTATTTATCATCCAATAGGATTATTTAGTAGCTGTATTCACTGCTTCAAACTGAGAGAAGCTAATTGGCTAAGATAGCCAGCTAGCTATATTAGCTAACTAGCCAGGCTAATTGAGTCTGCATGTGCTTTCTTCCTGTTCTACAGTTACAAATAACAACACCTCCATTCAGATTATTAAATAGCAGCCTACCTGTTGGCTCTTGGTCGTTGTACCATATACTTGTCATTTAACTTTTAATTCCTTCATTTTAATTCCATTTTCCGTTGATTAGATCATCTCCTAACTTGCTTTGCCTCACACGGAGGCCCTATGACCGTAGTGGCGCTTTGATTACTTGTGACTGGCCGACAACTACAACAATCTACATGTACCACTCTGGGCTATTCTGGTTGAGTAGTGGAGAATAAACTATTAACGTTTTATCCACAACTCTCTGTCCATCGCCGTTGTAATCGACTGTGAAGCCAAAATGTACCCAAACTGGAGATTTAAACAATGATGGAGGATCCTCCAATTCTGGTTTATCGATCCCACCACTCGCCATCTACAGAGTTCCCGGCTGCGCCTCACAAAAGGATACTTTGAAATTCGCCAGTTAAGATTAGCCTACAATATATTTTCAGCTCTGATTTATTCATGAGGCAATAGCATACAACGCAGCGTAGGCATAGAATATAGGCCTAGTGTTTTTATTAATTTTTTATATTTTTGTATTAATTCGGGTTCACAGTGCGAACTGAACCTAGGTCCCCGTTTCAGAGTCAACAGTCTATGACTTGGGTGGCTGGAGTCTTTGACAATTTTTAGGGCCTTCCTCTGATACCGCCTGGTATAGACGTCCTGGATGGCAGGGAGTTCGGACCGAGTGATGTACTGGGCAGTACGCACTACCCTCGGTAGCGCCTTGCAGTCAAATGCTGAGCAGTTGCCATACCAAGCGGTGATGCACCCAGTCAAGATGCTCTCAATGGTGCAGCTGTAGCACTTTTTGAGGATGTCAAATCTTTTCAGCCTCCTGAGGGGGAAGAGGCATTGTCGTGCCCTCTTCACGACTGTGTTTGTGTGTTTGGACCATGATAGATCCTTAGTGATGTGGACACCGAGGAACTTGAAGTTCTCGACTCTCTCCTCTACAGCCCTGGTGATGTGAATGGGGGCGTGCTCTGCCTTCCGTTTCCTGTAGTCCACGATCAGCTCCTTTCTCTTGCTGACGTTGAGGGAGAGGTTGTTGTCCTGGCACCACACTGCCTCCTCCCTATAGGCCGGCTCATCGTCGTCGGTGATCAGGCCTACCACAGTCGTGTCATCGGCAAAGTTATTGATGGTGTTGAAATCGTGCGCGGCCACACAGACGTGGGTGAACAGGGCGTACAGGAGGGGACTAAGCACGCACCCCCGAGGGGCCCCCGTGTTGAGGGTCAGCGTGGCGGATGTGTTGTTGCCTGTCCTCATCCCCTTGGGGGCGTCCCGTCAGGAAGTCCAGGATCCACTTGCAGAGGGAAGTGTTCAGTCCCAGGGTCCTTAGGTGTTGAACGCTCAGCTGTAGTCAATGAACAGCATTTTCACGTAGGTGCTCCTTTTGTCCAAGTGGGAAAGGGCAGTGTGGAGTGCAAAAGAGATGGCATCATCTGTGGATCTGTTGAGGCGGTATGCGAATTGGAGTGTGTGCAGGGTGATCCATGACCAGCCTTTCAAAGCATTTCATGGCTACAGATGTGAGTGCTACTGGGCGATAGTCATTTAGACAGGTTACCTTGGCGTTCTTGGGAAGAGGGACTACGGACTACATGTAGCAGGGACAATCTGCAATTCAAACAATAACAAAGCAAAGGGTATAATGAATTGAAAAGGCTTTTTTTATAGCAATCACAGATTCTCCCTTTAACCAACACATGGGCGTTGAATAGCAGGCCGCTAATACAACACATCACTGCCTTCTGCATGTCACTTTCAAATCCTCTTAAAAAAGCAGCTTTTTGTTTCCAGTTCCCAATTACCAAACAAAATGGAATAGAAAGTTGTATTTGTGGCTAAACCGTTTGGTTGGATGTTTACAGTTTGTTTTATTGTGTGGTTTCGCTACAATAAATCTAAGATTACATACTGTATATGTGAGACAAACCTATCTCATTGCAGAGGACCTATTTCAAGGCAGAAAGGAGTTTGGATTTCCTTAATGAGGATGCGTAGTAGCACTGGGGAGACTAGGCCTTATAATCAATACTCTCCCTGACAGACCCTCCCCTATCTTACTCTGTCAGTATGCCGCCGGTTGCATGCTTGTGTGGATCCAGAAGTGCAATCCCATAGAATGATGACACGCTTGCACACACACACAAAACACACAGACACACACACACTCTACACACGCATGGTGCTGTGCCTGGGGATCCCTGAGGGATTAAATGGTGCTGAGTGATTGTACTTGATGTTGCTTATTATGATGAAGGGAGGCTCGTCTCAGAGAGAGAGAGACATGGCTCCTAGCTCTACAGAATACAGACAGGGGTTATATTATACAGTAGTGCAATCCCATTAATGATGACACACTGACACACACACACACCCTGTATACAGACTACAGAAAGGGGTTAGATCATCATCCCCTAGCCACAGCCCCCAGAGTCAGACTCATTAGTTGACACTTCTCTCCTCGCCCTGCTACTCCTTAACCTCTATATGTCACAAGCCATCACAGCCTCTCTCACGAGGACAGAACAGTTATTAAGGCTGCAGCGCAAATGGCAACCTATTCCCCAAATAGTGGCCTACTTTTAACCACAGGGCTCTGATCAAAAGTAATGCACTATACCCGCTTTGTCTGTGTTGTCTTCTGACATTTTGGGTCGACGTTTCGTCATTGTGTACATGTTATTATTGGCATCTGTGTTAAAATGTCTTATTGTGACATTTTCTCTGATTCTCTTTCAGAATTCTATGAACCTTCCTCCAGACAAAGCGCGACTACTGCGGCAGTACGACAATGAGAAAAAGTGGGAGCTCATCTGTGATCAGGTGGGATGTTGCTTATTCACTGTCAATAACCTGTTCACAAACTCCTAGTTTGGGATCTAATATCCGGTGTGTCCGGTGACTCACAAGTCTAACCAATGAAGAGGGCACTCTGTGGCTGCATCCCATATTTACATTTAACATTTAAGTCATTTAGTAGACGCTCTTATCCAGAGCGACTTACAAATTGGTGCATTCAACTTAGGATATTTCCTATATAGTGCACTACTTTAGACCAGAGCCCAATGGAACCTGGTCAAAAGTAGTGCACTATAAACGGTATAGGGTGCCATTTGCGACGCAAGTGTTGTGTTCAGCAGACTGAGTGCTCGGCCCTTCTGCCAGTGTGTTTTCTGCTTAACTGAGCAGAGGGAAAAGAGGAGAGTGAGAGAGGGACCACCAAGCACCCGCTCAGGCTAAGGATACAATTGATACGAAGCCACCCTGAACACAATGAAGCTGGAGTGTGGCAGTGGGAAGAATTAGCAATTTGCTGCCTGGTCAATTTTTTTTTTTTCTTCACGTTTTTGTATCTGACTGGAGTTAATGTTTCTGTCACTGTCGTACATCAAGTGATGTGTGAGGTGGTCTGGCATTTTGCAATGCCACCCTATTCCCAATTTAGTGCACTACTTTTGACCACGGCCCATAGGGTTCAATTAGTGGTGTAAAGATGACCTGATGGAATTCTGTCCTCGGAAAGTTTCAGTGTGAGATGTGAGACGCCGGGATCCAATATTTTCTTCACTGTTTGTGCAAACAAAGTTGGATCATATTTTCTAAAAATAGACTTCTAGGTTTTCATGTTTGCCATCAAAATAACTAACCCATGTTAAAGCCTTGAATAATATGTTTTCCATGTCACATTATAGCTACACCAAATTTCTTTATGTATAATCATGGCAACTGCGATGTTCGTAGGGGTAACCAGAGAAACAAGGCTGATAAGTACATTAGCTTTTAACAATATTTATCCTGAAAATACATTCAGGGGGGTTGAAATATTACATTTTGGGGCGGGAATTATGAAGTTAGATCAAATATTAAAGATGCTCTCACAACGAAAACAACCATCAGAGACTGTATCACGTAATGATGCCTAATGAGCCTTACTCTGACCCTCAGTAGACCTCTCTCATCTACATCATGGCTTTGTCCCAAATGGCACCCTAGTGGCACAAAATAAAGAATAGGGCCCCTCAGGGGTGCGTGCTCAGTCCCCTCCTGTACTCCCTGTTCACCCATGACTGCATGGCCAGGCACGACTCCAACACCATCATTAAGTTTGCCAACGACACAACAGTGGTAGGCCTGATCACCGACAAAGATGAGACAGCCTATAGGGAGGAGGTCAGAGACCTGGCCGTGTGGTGCCAGGATAACAACCTCTCCCTCAACGTGACCAAGACAAAGGAGATGATTGTGGACTACAGGAAAAAAAAGAGGACTGAGCACGCCCCCATTCTCATCGACGGGGCTGTAGTGGAACAGGTTGAGAGCTTCAAATTCCTTGGTGTCCACATCACCAACGAACTATCATGGTCCAAACACACCAAGACAGTCGTGAAGAGGGCACGACAAAGCCTATTCCCCCTCAGGAGACTGAAAAGATTTGGCATGGGTCCTCAGATCCTCAAAAAATTCTACAGCTGCACCATCGAGAGCATCCTGACTGGTTGCATCACCGCCTGGTATGGCAACTGCTTGGCCTCTGACCGCAAGGCACTACAGAGGGTAGTGCGTACGGCCCAGTACATCACTGGGGCCAAGCTTCCTGCCATCCAGGACCTCTATACCAGGCAGTGTCAGAGGAAGGCCCTCAAAATTGTCAAAGACTCCAGCCACCCTAGTCATAGACTGTTCTCTCTGCTACCGCACGGCAAGCGGTACCGGAGTGCCAAGTCTAGGTCCAAAAGACTTCTCAACAGCTTCTACCCCCAAGCCATAAGACACCTGAACAGCTAATCATGGCTATCCGGACTATTTGCACTGCCCCCCCACCCCATCTTTTTACGCTGCTGCTACTCTGTTAATTATTTATGCATAGTCACTTTAACTCTACCCACATGTACATATTACTTCAACTACCTCAACTAGCCGGTGCCCCCGCACATTGACTCTGCACCGGTACCCCCCTGTATATATAGCCTCCCTACTGTTATTTTATTTTACTTCTGCTCTTTTTTCTCAACACTTTTTTGTTGTTTTATTCTACTTTTTTATTCAAAATAAATGCACTGTTGGTTAAGGGCTGTAAGTAAGCATTTCACTGTAATGTCTGCACCTGTTGTATTCGGCGCATGTGGCCAATAAAATTTGATTTGATTTTATTTGGGACGCAGCGCAAATCAAGAAAAGAGCAGAAGTAAAATAAAATATGGCTTCTCTGTTTGTGGATGGAATGTTGATACAGCAATGTTTTTGGAAGTTGGGTCGTTTCACGAAAAGAGTACCTTTTGATCATTTAAGTAGACATTTTGCACAATGATATATTTTTTAAATAATGTTACATTAAGTGGAGTGCCCTTTAATATAGCAGAACACGTCAACCCTGTTACTCATTGATAGACAGGCTAGAAATGTTGTAAAACAATTTTTTTGCATTCAATTGCCCCTCTCTGTTGCACACAACAAGCTTCCATTCCTCCTGTCACAACGGGATTTATGGCCGATTTGAGCTTAAATTGTCAACCCTGTTACGGTCAACCCTGTTACAGTCAACCCTGTTACTTTATTTGGAACTTAATAGGCACTTAGTATAGTATATTTTATTTATTTAACCTTTTTATGGGAAAACTTGTTTTTTATTAAGTTGAACATGTGCTTTGTATGACAGAATGTAAAAATGATGTGATGTAAAACACTACCCAAAAGGGACTCATTTCATGGAACGACCCAGTTATTCATGAAGCTTCATCATCAGCCTTTAGATTGGAAAAGCCCTTGAAGCAAAGTGTCTCTCGACTTGTTCCTCCTGCAACACAGAAGAGAGAAGTCTGCTTTCCCCATTCATAGAGGAGTTGTAACGATTTGATAGATCAGCTGCCTGACTCCCCAGTAAGGTACATGTTCAGTGATTCCTCTCTATCCCTTTGAACTGGGAGAGATTTCTCTCCTCTCCTTCCTGTCCTCTCATCCACACTGCAGTGCTGTTTCTGAGAATGGGGGAGAAGCGCTGCCTGGGATTTTAAAGATATTCTCCGGTACTTTTGTATACTTTTTAGCCAGTAGGTCTGAAAGTAGTGCTCACAAACCAAAAGTGGTCCCCAAAAAGTGCGTACTACGTCACATATGTGCAGATATGTGCTCCACGTCATTGCTCTCTCTCTCTCTCTCTGCTGTGTCCAGTGAGCCATTGGGCCCGCCCTGCAACCTCATTGGATAATGCTGGGCAGGCCTCTTTCTAGCTGTCACTCAAATGCAAGGGGCTGAAGCTCATTGGCTAGAACTCTAATTGCTAGGGGACTGGCCCACGTGGGCGGAAATGTAGAGAAAATTACATGGCACAGCTTCAAGAAAACAGTTGCTTTCACACTTGGGATTTCGAGGCTAATTGAGGTAAGACAGTAATTCTGCTCATAGATTATGCATGAATGAACTACTCATTGACACATCTAGCCCAAAGCGGAAGGTTTAAAAAATACTTTCTTAGTCGCCAAAGTACCGGAGCATGTCTTTAACTTGGGGCTTTACATGGCTGCTCGGTTCTAATTACCAGGAATTCATTCCTCCTCTTTATCTGGCGGCTATACCAAGCCCCTCTCTCCCTTCACACACAGGATATTACATAAGCCCCTGGCACTGCACCCTTTAACCACTAACCTCCCAGTCTCTCACTTCCTACTCTCCCAGCTCCCTTAACCCCTACCTTCCCAGTTTCCCCCTCCCCTGTCTTACTCAGCCCCCATTCTGCAGGTGCAGAGGAGAGGAGGAGTGATTCTACTACAGCCCAGATGGAATCCAGACCACTACCCTCCTCTATCCTCTGACTACTTTTATGGCTGTCATAGACCATGCAGGAACTATTTTATATGTGCCCCTATAAATCTCATATACTTTCTCTACACTATAGGCCCGCCATATATATTCCCCTGTCCTTGTATTAGCAACATAGGCAGCCTGTCACCAACAATGGTTTCCATTTGTGCCACCCAAATTGCACCCTATTCCCTATATAGTGCACTACTTTTGACCCGAGCCCTATGGGTGACCCTATGGGCCCTGGTCAAAAGTAGTGCAGTATAAAGGGAATAGGGTGCCATTTGGGACTGAGAGGCAGCAGCACTCACACATGCATTGATGTAACGGTGAGGCCATCGCCATCATCACATAGCCAGCAATAGGATGATCAAACCGCTCACCCAGAAAATAAAAACAACTCTCAGTCTGCATCCCTGCATGTCTGACCCGCGTTGCCGAGCGACATGTAGTGAGCTCTGGAGCACTGTGGGGGGAATGCAAAAAACTGCCTACTTCCAGCCACAGCCAGTCAGTCAGTGCAGCCGGGGTAGCCAGTCTGCCTCCTGAGCTCTTAGTAGGCACAGATGCCCCACCGCAGTGCATAAATACTGCATAGACACAAAGCTATTATGTGGGAACAGGAGCTGTGTATACTAGTTAATCACCCTTCTGGACTGGCCACTTCTCTGTTTTCGTCCCGAATGGCACCCTATTCCATATATAGTGCATTACTTTTGACCAGAGTCCAACAGACTACCTCTGTTAGGGTGGTAGCTAACAGCATGCTGAGGCATACTGGTCACGTCCACTTCAGTGTGAGTGGAGAGTCAATCAGACATAGGGCCTGTCCCAAATGACACCCTATTCCCTATATAGTGCACTTCCTGGGGAATGTAGTGCACTATATAGGGAATAGGGTGCGGTTTGGTACTCAGACTCATTCAAACAGACTGCTTCCCAGCTCTCCAGCCTCTCACAACACAACAAAGCCCTATGATTTACATTGACTGGATGGATGATGGTGATTCATGATGGGGATTTTGCTAGATTCGATAATATATAGAGGGGTGTCCGTGTCAAGATCAGCTGTTATTGTAGTCAGTCTCCACCACATTCCAAAAATATAATTCCACCACCAGCTGGTTTCACATTGAGGCAAGAGAATCAAAACGAGTCAATAATATTGGGGTCCCTGTGAGTGATGATCTTATGCCTTTGATTCGAGTGCCGATATAAAACAACAACTGTGATGTTTCTTAGCCCGCAGGCTTGAGCAAAGTAGCTCATATCTGATGCTAAACACAATTGTCCATACACCAATATACATTTTGGGTAATGTTGTCCCTTTTAACCCTTCACAGTTAGCTGAGTAACTACATAATGAGAGCGAAAGTATTCTAATGTGTCTGTCCTCCTCTCTCTCTCTCTCTCTCTCTCTCTCTCTCTCTCTCTCTCTCTCTCTCTCTCTCTCTCTTCTCTCTCTCTTTCTCTCTTTCTCCATCTGTCTGTCTCTCCCTCTCACAGGAACGATTCCAAGTGAAGAACCCACCTCACACATACATCCAGAAGCTGAGGGGCTATCTGGACCCGGCCGTCACCAGGAAGGTGAGTGAGAGAGAGAGAGAATGAGAGAGAGAGAGAGAGAGAGAGAGAGAGAGAGTGTTGATTGTTCCCAACCAACTGTTCCACTGCCTCAGCCTCTTTCTTCCCCTTTAAACCAGCCCCACACCACCAGGATATCCCACCGTCCCTATGGCTGTGGAAAGAAGGTCCAGTGGCCCCGAGAAGTAGTGGGCCCTTGGAGTTAAAGGGACATTGCACTTTCAAATCAGTAATGTCAAGATGAAACCACAACCCACAACATCGGTTGTGTAGGTCCAGCTACTGTATGTCTCCACCCCAAATGAATGGAACATCATCATGGGATGTAGGCATATAGGTTTAACATGGCCTTGCAGAGCCTAACCATAGTTTAAAGGACTGTTATGATATTATCCCCACAATGTGCTGGTGGTAGCATTATGGGAGTGAAGCAGCCAGGACTGGCTAAGGCTGACTCTTTGGCTACAGAATGGTTTTCTAAAGTAAAGTGTCAGCCAACCTTCAGGCCTTGCCAATAGGCAGAGTTTTGGCTCGCGGAGAGAGATCGTGCCGCTGTGAGAAGGGATGCGTCCATAATGGCACGCTATTCCCTTTATAGTGCACTACTTTTGTCCAGGGCCCATATGGTATAAAGGGAATAGGGTGCTATTTGGGTCGCAGACACAGAGTTGTCGCTCTTTGTGATAAAAACAAATTAACTGAATGACTCTGCCAGAATAACAGCAAATTGCTCCAGATAATTTAATTACGCTGCCTGACTGGAATTAAAGTTTCAGAGACACATTATACGCTACGGCAGCGTGAAGAGAGCGAGAGTTCAGATCTGTATCTGCCGATGGATGTGACGTCTGCTACGCAAGTAGAATGTCTGTCTATGCCATCATCTTCCCTGCTTAGCTGAGTTAGGCTAATGTTGAATTATTTCGAACATTCATTTTTCATAGTGTTGAAGTTTGTCCCTTGTCTCGTCCCCTGATAGAAAAAGCAAAGGGAATATGTCATGTATCGCGACACATCTTGTATTTTGGCACTCCTGCATCCCTAGCTGCATTATCGATGTCCCTTCTATGTTTTGGTGTACGTCTCCATCAGAGCATCGCCATTGTCTAAGTCTATCCCAGATGGCACCCTAATCCCTTTCTAGTGCACTACTTTTAACCAGATCCCTATGGGGGTGCCATTTGGGACGCATACTTAGTACACTCTTTTAATGATACCGAACATGATTAAAGATTAGCGTTTCTCTCTGGAGACAGAGATAAAGGAGAAGAAGAATGATGAAGAACAAAATTGGCAAGGAGAAGAGAGGAATAGAGAAGAATATAAAGAGGGAGGATGGTGGATGAGAAGTGCTCATATTGTAGTCAGATGTAAGACTATGAGGAGGAGTGTACTATGGTATGGGGCAGGTTTGATCTGCATCCCAAATGACACCCTATATACAGTGAGGGAAAAAAGTAGTTGATCCCCTGCGGATTTTGTACGTTTGCCCACTGACAAAGAAATGATCAGTCTATAATTTTAATAGTAGGTTTATTTGAACAGTGAGAGACAGAATAACAACAACAAAATCCAGAAAAACACATGTCAAAAATGTTATGAATTGATTTGCATTTTAATGAGGGAATAAGTGTTTGACCCCTCTGCAAAACATGACTTAGTACTTGGTGGCAAAACCCTTGTTGGCAATCACAGAGGTCAGACGTTTCTTGTAGTTGGCCACCAGGTTTGCACACATCTCAGGAGGGATTTTGTCCCACTCCTCTTTGCAGATCTTCTCCAAGTCATAAAGGTTTCATGGCTGATGTTTGGCAACTCAAACCTTCAGCTCCCTCCACAGATTTTCTATGGGATTAAGGTCTGGAGACTGGCTAGGCCACTCCAGGACCTTAATGTGCTCCTTCTTGAGCCACTCCTTTGTTGCCTTGGCCGTGTGTTTTTGTTCATTGTCCTGCTGGAATACCCATCCACGACCCATTTTCAATGCCCTGGCTAAGGGAAGGAGGTTCTAACCCAAGATTTGACGGTACATGGCCCCGTCCATCGTCCCTTTGATGCGGTGAAGTTGTCCTGTCCCCTTAGCAGAAAAACACCCCCAAAGCATAATGTTTACACCTCCATGTTTAACGGTGGGGATGGTGTTCTTGGGGTCATAGGCAGCATTCCTCCTCCTCCAAACACGGCAAGTTGAGTTGATGCCAAATAGCTCCATTTTGGTCTCATCTGACCACAACACTTTCACCCAGTTCTCCTCTGAATCATTCAGATGTTCATTGGCAAACTTCAGACGGGCATGTATATGTGCTTTCTTGAGCAGGGGGACCTTGCGGGCGCTGCAGGATTTCAGTCCTTCACGGCGTAGTGTGTTACCAATTGTTTTCTTGGTGACTATGGTCCCAGCTGCCTTGAGATCATTGACAAGATCCTCCCGTGTAGTTCTGGGCTGATTCCTCACCGTTCTCATGATCATTGCAACTCCATGAGGTGAGATCTTGCATGGAGCCCCAGGCCGAGGGAGACTGACAGTTCTTTTGTGTTTCTTCCATTTGCGAATAATCACACCAACTGTTGTCACCTTCTCACCAAGCTGCTTGGCGATGGTCTTGTAGCCCATTCCAGCCTTGTATAGTTCTACAATCTTGTCCCTGACATCCTTGGAGAGCTCTTTGGTCTTGGCCATGGTGGAGAGTTTGGAATCTGATTGATTGATTGCTTCTGTGGACAGGTGTCTTTTATAAAGGTAACAAGCTGAGATTAGGAGCACTCCCTTTAAGAGTGTGCTCCTAATCTCAGCTCGTTACCTGTATAAAAGACACCTGGGAGCCAGAAATCTTTCTGATTGAGAGGGGGTCAAATACTTATTTCCCTCATTAAAATGCAAATCAATTTATAACATTTTTGACATGCGTTTTTCTGGATTTTTTGTTGTTGTTATTCTGTCTCTCACTGTTCAAATAAACCTACCATTCAAATTATAAACTGATAATTTCTTTGTCAGTGGGCAAACGTACAAAATCAGCAGGGGATCAAATACGTTTTTCCCTCACTGTATTACATTACTTTTGACCAGAGCCTAGTCAAAAGTAGTGCACCATATAGGGATTAGGGTGCCATTTGAAACACAGCCTTAGTGTATGGGAGGATGGCTCCCAGATGATGGAAGTGACTGGTCCAGGTTCTCTCTCTCTCTTTCTGTCAGGGTGTAAACACTTAGCACTGCGATGGCTGAAGGAAGGATTTATTATACACTGGTTTGCATCCCAAATGGCACCCTATTCCCTATAGTGCATTACTTATGGGCCATGGAGAGACCTATAGGGCTCTGGTCAAAAGTAGTGCACTATATAGGGGATAGGGTGCCATTTGGGACACATTCACTGACTCCAGGGCCTGCATATGTTAGCCATCGCTCTCTTTGTTTGTCTAACAGCACTGACCCAAGTATGGTCTTCCTCTATCTTTATTGAAAACGTCTGTCACAATCGGGCCTTAAGCGAGAGGCACCAGCGCTTTATTAAAACAGGTCTAAGCTGCTCTCAGATGAGTGGGTTGGAGGAAAGACTTCCCTGGCCTCCCGTGTTTATTTTCACATCGAAACGTAGGCCTATATGGGCCGTTTAGCACATGCCGTGGTAGAGAAGGACCATGAGAAACTTCTCCAATATTCCTAAGTCTGCTCCCTCTAACGTAGGGCTTATACCATGTTCCAACAATAGTTCTCAGCCTGCACCAGGGGAGAGTGGGAAAGAGAGAGGGGGAAAGTGAGAGAGTTAGGGGGAAAGTGAGAGAGAGTGGGAAAGTGAGCGAGAGAGGGGGGGGGGGGAGTGAGAGAGAGAGAGAGAGGGGGGGGGGTGAAATAGAGAGAGAGAGTCAGGGGAAATAGAGAGAGAGACGGGGAAAGAGAGAGGCAAGAGAGAGAGTTATGGTTTTACATTCCTGCTCAGCCCCCTTTTCTTCAGACTCAAACAATTGCCACTTTGTGTCTCTGTGGAGAGCCGGAGTTGGAGGTCATTGCCTCCACTTTACATATGCAGGCCCAGTGCATTCCTCTGGGCAGCTCTCAGCCAATAGACAGCCAAGGAGGAAGATTTCCATTCCAAAAAGTCCCCAAGAATGTATCAGCCTTTGATTTGTTTCCAGGATGACCCCTCCGGAGCGCGCACTGCTCCCCACTCATCAGAGCTCCCCACTCTCTACCTCTTTCTCTCTCTTTGCTATCTCTCTCTTTCCCCCTGTTTTCCCTGCTCTATTGCTCTCTCTTCTTACCCCCGCTCTCTTTCCCTGCTTTATTTATCTCTCCCTGCTTTCTCTCCTCTGTTTCACTCTGCTCTCTCTCTCCCTCTCCTCTATATCCCCCTATTCTCTGTCCTCTCTCCTCTCTTTTCCTCTCTCCCCTGCTCTCTCTGGATCTGCGCTGCAGCTGGTAGTACTTAGTGAGGAGTGGGGTGTTTGTGTATGTGTGTACGTGACTGTGTGTGGGGGTGGGGGGGGGTCAGGGAGTCTGCGCAGTACCCCTCGCACTTGCTCTGCTTTCCACACAAACACACAAAGGGGCTCCTCCCTAATAAAAACACTCTGTTTCTCATCTCCACATGTGCCAAACACACACACCACCGGCCCCCAGCCCAGTATTACGGGCCCAGAGAAGCCCTGGCAATGGGAACGTCCCTGTACCTCTCTCGCTCTCTCTCTCTCCCTTTCTCTCTCTATCTCTGTGTTTCTAACACTGAGTCTAGCTCTGTTTGTTTCCTCCCTGATAGATACAGAGTGCATCCCAAATTGCACTCTATTCCCTACACTATGCACTATGGACACAGCATGGAAAGGGAAGGAAAGGCCCCAGCCAAACTGGGTGGATATGGATACTGGGAGCCTCTGTCTCTGTCATTGGTGATGCAATGATTTCACTCTCTGTCATCAGGGAGATTGTTTTCTTCCTCTGAACTAGTAGTGATCAACATTGGTTCTTCTGGGCGTTGATTACGAATGCTGCTAGCGAGCCCCGTCGCTCACGCTTTCGTGCTTTTTGTATTCCTCCTCCTCCTCACAGCTGTTGCGCAACAGGCTGCAGGGCTTTTGTTTGGAGTCGAGCGAGAGAGAGAGAAAGAGAGAGAGAAAGAGAGAGAGAGAGGGGCCCCTCCTCAAAAACACTTGTGTCACGTTGTGTATTCACATGCAGGTCATGTCAAACACTTCAGTCCCCCGAGCATTTTCTCCTGGCGGTAAAACCACGGTAACAGCACACAGGACTAGAATGGATCTATGGTCGATGTGTGTAAAGGGCCCGGCAGCTCAAACACAAGCCAGGACCAATTTAATGAGTTGATTATAGCTGCATCCCAAATGGCACCTTATTCCCTATATAGTGCCTACTTTTGACCAGGGCCCATAAAAAAGTAGCGTACTATATAGGGAATAGGGTGTCATTTGGGATGCAGGAGATTATATCGTACCATAAGGAGGAACTGCCTTTTCCGGAAAACCAGGGAATTTATTGAAAGTTCCCAGAATTTTGCAACCCTATTCAAGACAAGAAAGCACACACATTTTCTTCAGGACATTTCCTTTTCAGAATGGCAGCGGTGGGGTCTGTTGTATGATTTAGGATTTATAACCCACCAGATCAGAGTGATGAAATGTTAATAATAATTCCCTTTTTTTGCCCCCAGAAATTCAGACGGAGAGTGCAGGAGTCCACCCAAGTCCTGAGAGAACTGGAAATTTCATTAAGGACAAATCACATAGGGTGGGTAGTAATTGATATGTGTGTGAATGTGAAAGTCTTGCTTCCCAAATGGCACCCTATTCCCTATGGGCCTGTTGAAACGTAGTGTACTATAAAGGGAATGCCATTTGGGACGCATCCCAGGTCAGCTGTGGTCCCAGGGAGTAATGAAGCCAGGATGCATGCTGGGAGCTATAGGCAGGATAAGGGACTACAACAGGATAAGGGACAGCAGGAAGCAGTGGGGCTGATGGGACTGGGGCAAGGTCACTGGTGACACGGCAGGCACCACTGACAGACAGCTGTGAGGGACAGGAAGACATAGGTTGCGTCCCAAATGCCACCCTATTCCCTACCTGGGCCCTGGTCAAAAGTAGTGCACTACAGAGAGAATAGGGTGCCATTTGGGATGCTGCCACAGAAAGGAGACCAGACAGCCACAGTCCTGTACCATGACAACACATCACACAGACGGTGTAGGCCGTCATTGTAAATAAGAATTTGTTCTTAACTGACTTGCCTAGTTATTTTTTGTACCTTTATTTAACTAGGCAAGTCAGTTAAGAACAAATTCTTATTTACAATGACGGCCTACACCAGGCCAAACCCGGACGACGCTGGGCCAATTGTGCGCCGCCCTATGGGACTCCCAATCACGGCCGGTTGTGATACAGCCTGGAATCAAACCAGGGGGTCTGTAGTGACGCCTCAAGCACTGAGATGCAGTGCCTTAGACCACTGCGCCACTCGGGAGCCCATTTTAGTTAAATAAAGGTAAAATAAAAATCAATAAAAAAAGACTCCAGCTAGCCAGGCACTATAACACAACAACAGTCACAGGATCTCAGGGTCCCAACAACACCAACACACTCACACTCTCTCTCTCTCTCTCTCTCTCTCTCTCTCTCTCTCTCTCTCTCTCTCTCTCTCTCTCTCTCTCTCCTTCACTCACTCTCACTCACTCACTCACTCACTCACACACACACACACACACACACACATTGAACCACAAAACCGAGTCACGGTGGAGGAGGTCTGTCTCCCAAAACAAAGCCAGGAGGGGAGGCATTGTTTACGTGGATTATCTTGTGCCTTGTTTTAGTGACCTTATGTCGCTAAACTAGATTACATTAATAATCTACCTAATCTAGATAAGATAATGAAGCCTTATCTTTTCCCAGAGAGAGATGGAGGGAGGGGGAGAGAGAGAGAGAGGAGAGGGGAGGGAGGGAGGGTGGCGTTTATAAAGAGGGGGAGGGCAGAAACCAGAAGAAAACAGTGTGATGACCAGTAGGCAACATAACAATCAGTCCTTTTTCAGAGGAGAAGACACATCTTGCATCTACAGATAGTGGAGATACCCTTTTCTCAGTAGCACTGAGTACAACACTGCCTTTCAATTGCTTTCACCTCGTTCAATTGTTGACAAGATACATTGTCATATTCTACATCAAACTGTTGTTGTTGTCGTGTGGTCATGATTACCGTGTGCCTGTTTAAGGTCAGGTCACACCTCCACACCTTAGATATGTCCCAAATGGCACCATATTCCCTTTATAATACACTACTATAAAGGGCCCCATGCCCTTAAAAGGAACCATTTTTATTAGCAACACAAGTCAGAATGTAGCCACACCATAGTCAGACTGAGAGGTCCAGTTCATTAGGGCGCAATTCTGCCCTCCATGTTTCAATCCATTTTCGTCCCTTTAGTGCCTAATGAATGCAACCCTGCCCTCCGACGAGCATGTCCCTTGTTAGTGATCATCACAGTACTTCTAAAGGCTTGGCTGTGTGTCATTCTGTTTATCCGACGCAAATTCTCTGTAATCACGGTGCAATCCCAGCCCGTTAAAGTAATTGGCCCCGACGCTGGTGGATCGCTAATAAAGAAAGATACTCTGTGAGTGAGTCCCTTGCTCATAAATATGGAAAGGAGAGAGAGGGAGAGAGAGAGAGGGGAGTGACTGTCATTAGTCAAACATGCTGTATTGTCTCTCAAAAAGACGGCTCTGCTTTCCCTCACTGTCAAGTGCAAATGAAAGCGCCAGCATGCTGAATAGGTGGCCCACTTTTGCACTGGTGTCGGTGAGAAAGCTAGAAATTGTATTTTGATCAGCGTCAAGGCCCTCCCTGGTAGGGAGGAGAGGGGAGCTGCCTGCCTGTGTGTGTGTGTGCCTGTGTGTGTGTGTGTGTGCGTGCGTGCGTGTTGCCGTATTCCAGGGTACCACCAAGGCTTTGAAGTCCCCAACCGGCTCATTACTATTCCTCCCAGTGACTGATGGGAAGAGAGTGAGAGAAATGTCTGGGAAATCTAAAATCTCTCTCACTCTCTCCTACTAACTCTCTCTCTGGCTCTCTTACCCTTTCTCTCTCTCTCTCTCTCGCTCTCGCTCTCGCTCTCGCTCTCTCTCTCTCTCTGTTACCCCCCTCTCTCTATGCCAGGACTTATTTCAAGTGTTTTATTATAGCTAGATCATGTTTCAAACCCTTATCACTTGACGTGTATCTCAATTATAAAATGGCTGAATCCCAGACAATTCTATGTGTCTAATGTTTGTGATTTGTCTCTCACTGTGGACCTACATACTGTCTGTGTGAGCCTAATATTGTTATTGGACTAACACTGTGTGTTATTTCTCATTCTAGGTGGGTGAGAGAATTCCTAAACGAAGAAAACAAAGGTCTGGATGTACTGGTGGAATATCTTTCTTTTGCACAGTACGCTGTCACGTAAGTCACTCTGGCTCTTTTCACTCTATAGATGCCCTCGTATAACGCAGGCCAGACAATGAGCACAATGGCCCTTTTCTGCCTAATCAGTGATGCATCTCCTCGACACTGCTGCTACTGCTGCCTCGTTCTCAGAAACACTGAGTCACGGATCGAATGTGGTGACCGAACGGCTCCCGAGACACTGGACACATCCCAAATGGCACCCTATTCACTATATAGTGCACTACTTTTGACCAGAGCCCTGTGGGACTCCCTACATGCCCTGGTAAAAGTAGTGCACTACATAGGATATAGGGTTGCCATTTGGGACATAGACATTTGCTCTGTTTGGCATATAGATTATATTCATAGATGGCGTGATCACAAGGTTTCCATTCAGAGCCAATGGCATTTTTTACGTGGCAGTTACATTTTAAATGTACTTTTAGACCCTATGTTATTAGTCTGTCCAACGCGTATCAAATGGTTACCCCATCAATGAGTGTTTACCTTGATTCGCTTGGTACAAGTTAGTCCCCTGCCTTTCCATTAGAAAATAGCCACATATATTCCATATGTTTCACTTAAGCAGAATTTTTATACACTTCTACCTACTTTGATAGTGTGTTAAACAGACTAGGGTTGTGCCCCAAATGGCACTCTATCCCCTAAATAGTTCACTACTTTTACTACCTATTGGCCCTGGTCGAAACTAGTACACTATAAAGTGAATAAGTTGCCATTAGGGACACAGCCATTGTTGGACTGTGATCAGAGAGTACTGTGATGTATTAGGATATCTAAGTCTCCTGTCCTTTCCTGTGTGTTCCCCTCTCCAGGTTTGATGGCGACAGCGTGGAGAACAACCCGGAGAACTCGGTGGACAAGCCCTGGAGCAGATCCATAGAGGACCTGCATGGGGGGAGTAACCTCCCGTCCCCCATCAACGGGAACAGCATCTCCCGCGCCGGGCGACACTCCACGCTACGGTAAACCACATACCTCAACACCATACCTAGACTTGAAAAATGTGGGTAATCTTTTTACAAATTCCCAGATTTTCCAGAAATCCCAGTTTGAAGTTTCCTAGAATCAACAGGGGAATAAGCATGAAATCCGGAATCCTCCAACCATGATTTCTGGAAAACCTGGGAATTTGGGGAAAGTTACTGGACTCTAACCATACATTACAGGCTAGAGGCTACTATAAGGCTACACCACAATGATAACGTAGTCATAAATCTGTATTTAAAACATGATATGTTTGTTGAATCTATAAGAAATGGTTTGAAAAGTCATGATTGTGGTTCACTTAGTCTGGATTGTTATAGTTCCCAAATTTGATGCTATGGGTTCATTCACGTGTTTGTATTTGATGGTTCTGAAAGCGCACACATTTCATGTGATGTCTGAAAAGGCCGTTTTTTGTTGTGGTCATGAGGCCCTAAAGGCTTTAAATGGCTTAAGACACGTTTAAGTGTGGCACGGATTGGCAGGATAGAAGATGTTATCTTTGGATATGTCCCAAATTGCACCCTATTCCCTATATAGTGCTTTTGACCAGAGCCCTATGGGCCCTGGTCAAAAAAAGTGCACTACATAGGGAATAGGGTGCCATTTGGGACGGTCGTCTGACTCATAATTATCCCACTGGCTGGCTGTTATGGAATATGATATCTCTACCGCACATCGCTGACAATGGGGTTTTCGTAGCTACTGAACAAGCCGGAAATCCCCCTTTTTCTAACACTATCTTTTCCACAGGAATTTTACAAATATGATATGTTATGTGATGAATATGATACGAATGATACATATTTTTTATAATTGGGCCAACATTGAGCATTGAACATTGAAATTCTCATCCTGTTTACCTTAAACCAGGGTCATCTAGTTATGCCTATTTCTGACTCTGTGTGTTAATCCCCGCTTTCGTTTCAATGATGTGCCAGTGTGTAATTCCCATTGATTTCTCACAGACGGCTAATCCTTTTGTCTGACTGTCAGTAACTCACAGGTTTTACAAGAACCGTTGCACAAAGGAAACCATTGACAACATAACATGTAGCACATGTCATCTCAATCCCAACCAGAGGTGGCTGGTGGGATGAGCTATAGGAGAGACGGGCTCATTGTAATGGCTGGAATGGAATCAATGGAACGGTATCAAACACATCAAACATATGGAAACCACATGTTTGACATCATTCCATTTATTCCATTCCAGTCATTACAATGAGCCCAACCTCCTATAGTTCCTCCCACCAGCCTCCACTGATCCCAACATTATCCTAACTCACATATAGTGGATTAAGCTACATTCATTTTCAATTAATCTCAACTCACTACACATGAGCTTCTTCTGTTAGGCTAGTGGCTGCATCCCAAATGGCACCCTATTCCCTATATAGTGCAAAACCTTGACCAGAGCCCTGGTCAAACGTAACACAGTTAATAGGGTGCCATTTGGGATGCATCCAGTGTGTCGGTGTACTGGCACGTATGTACAAGGGGCTGTGGGGCTACAGTGTTAATACTCATGTCTAGCAGAGTTGAGATCAGATGGAAGATCCTATAGGAGACTGAGGCTATGGGTGCGTCCCTATTGTCTATATAGTGCTATACTTCTGTAGTAGTGCACTAGGGTGCCATTTAAGATGCACATACAGTGCATTCGGAAATAATTCAGACCCCTTCCCTTTTTCCACATTTTGTTACGTTACAGCCTTATTCTAAAATCGATTAAATTATATTTTTTCCTCATCAATCTACACACAATATCCCATGATGACAAAGTCAAAACAAGTTTGTAGAAATTTTTGCAAATGTATTAAAACTAAAAAACAGATAAAACAGATAAACATAAGTATTCAGACCCTTTGCTATGAGACTCGAAATTTAGCTCAGGTGCATCCTGTTTCCATTGATCATCCTTGATGTTTCTACAACTTGATTGGAGTCCACCTGTGGTAAATTCAATTGATTGGACATGATTTGGAAAGGCACACACCTGTCTATATAAGGTCCCACAGTTGACAGTGCATGTCAGAGCAAAAACCAAGCCATGAGGTCGAAGGAATTGTCCATAGAGCTCAGATACAGGATTGTGTCGAGGCACAGATCTGGAGAAGGGTACCAAAACATTTCTGCAGCATTGAAGGTCCCCAAGAACACAGTGGCCTCCATCATTCTTAAATGGAAGATGTTTGGACCACCAAGACTCTTCCTAGAGCTGGCCACCTAGCCGAAATGAGCAATTGGGGGAGAAGGGCCTTGGTCAGGGAGGTGACCAAGAACCCGATGGTCACTCTGACAGAGCTCCAGAGTTCCTCTGTGGAGATGGGAGAATCTTCCAGATGGACAACCATCTCTGCAGCACTTGATGGTAGAGTGGCCAAACGGAAGCCACTCCTCAGTAAAAGGCACATGACAGCCTGCTCGGAGTTTGCCAAAAGGCACCTAAAGGACTCAGAACATGAGAAACAAGATTCTCTGGTCTGATGAAACCAAGATTGAACTCCTTGGCCTGAATGCCAAGCGTCACGTCTGGTAGTGGCAGCATCATGTTGTGGGGATGTTTTTCAGTGTCAAGGCTGGGAGACTAGTCAGGATCAAGGGAAAGATGAACGGAGCAAAGTACAGAGAGATCCTTGATGAAAACCTGTTCCAGAGCGCTCAGGACCTCAGACTGGGGCGAAGGTTCACCTTCCAACAGGACAACGACCCTAAGTACACAGCCAAGACAACGCAGGAGTGGCTTCGGGACAAGTCTCTGAATGTCCTTGAGTGGCCCAGCCAGAGCCCGGACTTGAACCTGATCGAACATCTCTGGAGAGACCTGAAAATATCTGTGCAGCGACGCTCCCCATCCAACCTGACAGAGCTTGAGAGGATCTGCAGAGAAGAATGGGAGAAACTCCCCAAATACAGGTGTGCCAAGCTTGTAGCATCAATCCCAAGAAGAATCGAGGCTGTAATCGCTGCCAAACGTGCTTCAATAAAGAACTGAGTAAATGTCTGAATACTTATGTAAATGTTATATGATGTAAATGTTATATGTTCTTATACATTCGCAAAAAATTCTAAAAACCTGTTTTTGCTTTTTCATTATGGGGTATTGTGTGTAGATTGATGAGGGGAAAAAACAATTTAATCCATTTTAGAATATGGCAGTAACGTAACAAAATGTTGAAAAAGTCAAGGGGTCTGAATACCTTCAGAATTCACTGTATGTGAATGTGAGCTGTATGAAGGTGACAGTGACAGCTGTGATGTTGACTGGTGTTCTGTCCTGGCCTTCGTCCTCTAGTCTGCTACTCTGTGCTCCACTCTTCAGCAGCAGCAGGCAGGTCTACTTACGGTGTCGCTCATGGTGCTGTCTGATAGTTCTAGATGCCTGCAGCACCCCCAAACCCCTCGCGCCCCCCACCTCCACCCACCTTGCTCCCCTGCGTAACGCATTATGGCGGTGCTCAAAATCACATTTAGATCATTGTAGTTATAATTAAATTAAATAGAACGATGTTCTTATACCAACATGACAGGTTTTATTGAAAAGCACAAAATTGCCCGTTGTGGCTTCATCCCTGCTATAAATCATGAATGAATATCATTTAAAAAATGAAAAAAAAACATTTAGCCTAGAAGAACAAGTCTCCTACACAACTTCAAAATACAATATTTGTGTAATGTAATTTGCCAACGACCTGTCCTATAGGCTGTTTGTATGAAAATTGTAATTAATAAATAACAAAACACAGCTGTTTTCAAATATAATCGAGGCCTCGGCATGAACACCAGGGCCGGCCGGTCATGTAATTTGAACTTTTGTGGGGTTGTGACTCGTGTCATGTGTGATATACATGGCTTATTGATAACAACTCTGTTTCCTACTATAGGCAGTTGGCTGCCTAGTGATTGCAGCATTGTAACTGTCCGATGTGAAAAGTGGCAAAACATTTTCCTTTCCAAGCGCTAGTGAATAAGCTCAACTCAAATGCACCAATCTCCCATGATACACATCATTACTCTACTCTATCAATCCATTCCAAATCTTTATACTATACATGACACAGTGGCGGCATATGTTGATCTTGCCTAGGGCGGCAGCAGAACTGCCAGGACTTGGCCTGACCAACACAATCATTTGCCTCTAATTTACTTGCGTTTGCGGTGGACCTTGGCCTGCTCAAAGTCAGCTGCTGCTGTTGGGAAGTCAAAACTGTCCAACTCCTTGGAGCAGCTTGATGCACATCAGCCTCATTACTTTGTCCTTAAGAAGGCGTGATCATGAGGCTGTCTTTACTCTGTTTTGGAGAAAGAATCCCCTCTCGGCAGTCACACTGGAAACGGGGATAATCAACGCAATCTTCGCCAATGCTGCCCAGTCGGGGTACACTTAGCTGAAGTCCCTTGTGAGGACATTGCGTCTTTAAAGTGAGTTAAAATAGAAACACACCCGACACTAATTTCCAAGCAGCTTGTGGATTTATTAGCCTATGAAGTATATTTGCCTTTGATGTTGGAGCACATGAACTGGTATTTCCATCAATGAATAAAAAGCATTATTTTGCAATGGATTTCTTTTTTCTCCCGGACAATTTGGCCAACAAATATTTTATTTATCGGCTTTTGAAAAAAATATCGGCCATTTACCGGCTACCAGAAACCCTGACACACACCCACCCACACACACACACACACACACCCTACCTGCTTCCATACCAAGCTGTGGCCCAGTGTGTGAAGGGGAGGGAGGGGGGAGTTAGGCCTATTTGTCCTGCTGCTACTACCTCTATTGTGCTTACTGTAGAAATTTCATTTCGGTTCCCATTTAGAGCAAATGGCTGTTTGTACTGGCATTGTTTCTGGCCCCCTCTGTATATTGCTAGTGGTTCAATTAGTAACTGGCTATAAACCAAACCCTTCTGTACTTTGGATGTATAAGAAACAATTCTGTAATCTGTACTATCATTATTTAGTTACCTCCTAACACAGACTGACAAGTCAAGGTAGTTAACACTAGCGTTATTAGTATTTATTCATATTTCCAACATACAGAAACTTAGCCTCGTTTTAACAATTTCACCCCTTCCAAGTCAATCATTGTTGTCACTTTTCTGATGTCATATTAAGAATTCTATGTATTTTTCTTAAAACCTTACTGCACACTTGAAGGACACCAAGCTCTTTGAAATGCCCAAAGTGTTCTCAAGGACGATGGTATGTCTTCTGTTTTTCCCCAGAGCTCCCTAGAAATATTTAGGCTAGCCTACTGTAGTTTATGGTTGTGTTTGTCAATGTGTTGTTGTACTGTAGTGAGATGTGATTTAGAGTATATGTGTGTCCCAAATGGCACCCTATTCCCTATATCAGGGGTATTCAACTCTTACCCTACGAGGTCCGGAACCTACTGGTTATCTGTTCTACCTTAAATTAATTGCACACACCTGGTGTCCCAGGTCTAAATCAGTCCCTGTTTAGAGGGGAACAATGAAAAAATGCAGTGGAACTGGCTTTGAGGTCCAGAGTTGAGTTTGAAGGCCCTATATAGTGTACTACTTGGCCCTGGTCAAAAGTAGTACACTATACAAGGAATAGGCTGCCATTTGGGACTCAGCCTTAGACTAGGTAGCTGTAGTGTTGAAATAACATCCATGAAAACATAGCTCGAAGCCTTTGGGGAACTTTAATTGGGTGTAAGTTGGTACACCACTACCAGGCCTGTCAAAGCAAGCCTACCATGCCTACATTGCAACAGGGTGAATGACTGTCTCGTTTTACTCATAGTCATGTCATCACACATCATTTCATCTGTATGATTAAGAGACAATGGACTCTCAAGTCACTGAAAGCATCCCAAATGGCACCCTATTCCCTATGTAGTGCACTACATTTGACCAGAGCCCTGGTACAGTGAGGGAAAAAAGTATTTGATCCCCTGCTGATTTTGTACGTTTGCCCACTGACAAAGAAATGATCAGTCTATAATTTTAATGGTAGGTTTATTTGAACAGTGAGAGACAGACAGAATAACAACAACAAAATCCAGAAAAACGCATGTCAAAAATGTTATAAATTGATTTGCATTTTAATGAGGGAAATACGTATTTGACCCCCTCTCAATCAGAAAGATTTCTGGCTCCCAGGTGTCTTTTATACAGGTAACGAGCTGAGATAATCTCAGCTTGTTACCTGTATAAAAGACACCTGTCCACAGAAGCAATCAATCAATCAGATTCCAAACTCTCCACCATGGCCAAGACCAAAGAGCTCTCCAAGGATGTCAGGGACAAGATTGTAGACCTACACAAGGCTGGAATGGGCTACAAGACCATCGCCAAGCAGCTTGGTGAGAAGGTGACAACAGTTGGTGCGATTATTCGCAAATGGAAGAAACACAAAATAACTGTCAATCTCCCTCGGCCTGGGGCTTCATGCAAGATCTCACCTCGTGGAGTTGCAATGATCATGAGAACGGTGAGGAATCAGTCCAGAACTACACGGGGGGATCTTGTCAATGATCTCGAGGCAGCTGGGACCATAGTCACCAAGAAAACAATTGGTAACACACTACGCCGTGAAGGACTGAAATCCTGCAGCGCCCGCAAGGTCCCCCTGCTCAAGAAAGCACAAGAGGAGTGGAACAAATACCCTCCTGAGATGTGTGCAAACCTGGTGGCCAACTACAAGAAACGTCTGACCTCTGTGATTGCCAACAAAGGTTTTGCCACCAAGTACTAAGTCATGTTTTGCAGAGGGGTCAAATACTTATTTCCCTCATTAAAATGCAAATCAATTTATAACATTTTTGACATGCGTTTTTCTGGATTTTGTTGTTGTTATTCTGTCTCTCACTGTTCAAATAAACCTACCATTAAAATGATAGACTGATCATGTCTTTGTCCGTGGGCAAATGTACAAAATCAGCAGGGGATCAAATACTTTTTTCCCTCACTGTAAAAGGTAGTGCACTATGTTCGGGATATAGATTCTTTCCCCAAAATGTGTTACTCTACCAATTGTTCCCGCTGCCTGGTCTCAGGCTGAAGGCTGGAGATATTTTTGTGTAATGAGGGGAAAGAAGACAAAAGCTTAGTTCTTGAAGAACGCCGCCATCGCCTGCTGCTGTGAGGCTGCGTGTGAGGCAGCGTTCCAATTCTGTCACCGTCTCGTGAAGCGAGCTCATTTATTTGAGGACACTTGTTTTTTTGCCACATGCACCTAAATAGAACAAAGTCACACGCACACACACACACACACACACACACACAAAGACAAACAAAGTTACGCATACACCCACATATTGTTTCGCTATTTTACATTTACTACACGCAGACGTCATAACTGGTTGCTCAATAGCTCACATTCATGTAATCAGTGAGAAGTGCCAGACCATGAAGACCAATCGTCGACTGTGGTTTACTAGATTGTTTAGACAACACATTTTTGCCAATGCCGTGACTGAAGACTGGCCCTAAGGCATCAGTGCTAACATAAATCAGTGTTTGTGTGCATCGGTAGCCTCAAGGAACCTTTTCCCAAAACCATGGCTAGTAGTTAGAGCCTTGTGACAGCGCTGAAAATATCTCAAGTTTTATGTCCCTGGCTGGACTGAGCTTCAGTAACACACACACACACATACATGCACGCACACACACACCCACACCCACTCTCAGCGGCCGGTGTGCTACTCAAGCACTCTCCTTTCATTGTGAGAAAGGTGTCAGCGGGAAAGGCTCCATCCACTCTTTGCCGTTTTATCTTCACAAAGCCGGCATGATCACCGCCATGCATGCAAATGACTTGCTGCCATTGTACTAGCTGTAAGTGATATCTTTGTGCGGGATAGTTCAATTAAAACAATCACACAGGCTCCCCTTTGCCCTCTGAGTAAGGCAGTAGATTACACAACTCTGTGTGTCCTTGTACCGAGTTTAATTTCTACAGTTCACAGATTACATCTGTTTTCTTGTTTACTGTGTGTCTTTGTTTGTATTGATTCAGACTAAAGGTGCTTACTGTGAAAACTCTCCTGTATCCGTATGTTTCAGTTGCAACACGTTGCCAAGCCAGAGAACTCTAAAGAACTCCCGACTGGTCTGTAAAAAGGACGACGTTCACGTCTGCATCATGTGCCTGCGAGCCATCATGAACTACCAGGTGAGTCTCTCTCTCCAGTCCCCATGCTAACCCAATACATAGAGTACCTCCTAAATGGTACCCTATACCCTATTTAGTGCACTACTTTTGACCAGGGCCCATAGTGCCCTGGTAAAAGGTAGTGCACTATAACATTGGGGCCCATAGAGCTCTCGTCATATGTAGTGCACTACAGTGCATTCGGAAAGTATTCAGACCCCTTGACTTTTTCCACATTTTGTTACGTTAGACTTATTCTAAAATTGATTAAATTACATTTTTTCCTCATCAATCTACACACACCCAATAATGACAAAGCGAAAACAGGTTTTTAGAATTTGTTGCTAATTTATTAAAAAAAAACTGAAATACCTTATTTACGTAAGTATTCAGATCCTTTGCTATGACACTCGAAATTGATCTCAGGTGCATCCTGTTTCCAATGATCATCCTTGAGATGTTTCTACAACTTGATTAGAGTCCACCTGTGGTAAATTCAATTGATTGGACATGATTTGGAAAGGCACACACCAGTCTATATTAGGTCCCACAGTTGACAGTGCATGTCAGAGCAAAAACCAAGCCATGAGGTCAAAGGAATTGTCCATAGAGCTCCGAGACAAGATTGTGTCGAGGCACAGATCTGGAGAAGGGTACCAAAAAATGTCTGCAGCATTGAAGGTCCCCAAGAACACAGTGGCCTCCATCATTCTTAAATGGAAGAAGCTTGGAACCACCAATACTAGCCGCCCGGCCAAACTGAGCAATCGGGGGAGAAGGGCCTTGGTCAGGGAAGTGACCAAGAACCCAATGGTCACTCTGACAGAGCTCCAGAGTTCCTCTGTGGAGATGGGAGAACCTTCCAGAAGGACAACCATCTCTGCAGCACTCCACCAATCAGGCCTTTATGGTAGGCACCTAAAGGACTCTCAGTTGTAAATGAGAACTTGTTCTCAACTGGCTTACCTGGTTAAATAAAGGTGAAATAAAAATAAATAAATAAAAAAGACAATGAGAAACAAGGTTTTCTGGTCTGATGAAACCAAGATTGAACTCTTTGGCCTGAATGCCAAGCATCATGTCTGTCATGTCTGGAGGAAACCTGGCACCATCCCTACAGTGAAGCATAGTGGTGGCAGCATCATGCTGGGGGGGATGTTTTTCAGCGGCACGGACTGGGAGACTGGTCAGGATCGAGGGAAAGATGAACGGAGCAAAGTACAGAGAGATCCTTGATGACAACCTGCTCCAGAGCACTCAGGACCTCAGACTGGGGCGAAGGTTCACCTTCCAACAGGACAACGATCCTAAACACAGGAGTGGCTTCGGGACAAGTCTCTGAATGTCCTTGATTGGTCCAGCCAGAGCCTGGACTTGAACCCAATCAAACATCTCTTGAGAGACCTGAAAATAGCTGTGCAGCGACGCTCCCCATCCAACCTGACAGAGTTTGAGAGGATCTGCAGAGACAAATGGGAGAAACTCCCCAAATACAGGTGTGCTAAGCTTGTAGCGTCATACCCAAGGGGTATTGTGTGTAGATTGATGAGGGGGGAAAAAAACAATTGAATCAATTTTAGAATAAGGCTGTAACGTAACAAAATGTGGAAAAAGTCAAGCGGTCTGAATACTTTCCGAATGCACTGTATATAGGGTGCCATTTGGGACACAACCATAGATGGAGGGTTGAAGTATAGACACACACCCTCATCTATCCTCGGCCAAATAAATATATCGTCTGCCATGTTTTCCGCGACAGATCATTTCTCAAGTTTCCCTTTATTATGTAAATGGAGTCACTCCCTGTTTATTAACGAGCTGTCTTTCTTTTTCTCTCCTTCTCTCTCTCGATCCATCTATTTTTGATGACCCAGTACGGCTTCAACATGGTGATGTCCCACCCGCATGCTGTGAATGAAATTGCACTAAGTCTCAACAATAAGAATCCCAGGTAAAATGGAAGCGTTGGGTTGGATGGGCCCACGGTGCCTGGTGCTAAACAGCTCCTCTGGGTGCTTATTTTTCAAGCGTCTCCGAGGAGTAGCGGTGATATAGGATCAGCTACCCCGTCCATATATTATCGTATTCATTATGATCTAAAAGGCTAAACTGATCGTAGATCAGCACTACAGGCCTACCTCCCCTTATGACTGCACCAGCTCTGTCAACTGCTAATAGAGCCAGTGCACATTCTCTTTCAACACCCTGTCCAAAGTGTGCGTAAAGCCAGTATCCAGTGCTAACTCATTCAGCAAGCCAACCAGCCATCTAGACATCCAGGGAGGCAGGCAGGCAGGTCAGGCAGGTAGGCAGGTCAGGCAGGTCAGGGACCACTGGCAGCTGCACAGAGCACCAGGCAACAGGAAGGGCCCTTTATTCAGGCGCCTGGCTTTTGTTTATTGAAGTGTGTTTGTGTGGGTGTGTGTGTGTGTGTGTGTGTGTGCTTGTTTGCATCCGCCTGCATCATGGCTGAGCTTGTGTTTCTGCGTAGCGTGTATGTCTTTGTGTTTGCATGCGTGAATAGAATAGAATAGAAAATAATAGAATACGTTTACTTTGAATGAATGAGCTAATGGTACAGGGTGTCATGTAAAAATCTTCCCAGTGTGAAATAGTTCCCAATCGTTCTGATTGTGTTGTGATTGTGACGTCATGTTGTAACATTTCTCACAGGAAAATGTTCCCAGTCAATAATTCCACGTGCATCTCTTTATCTGGATGGCTGATGTTTCTCTCCTGTAGCGCCTTTGCAATCGCAAAAAATCTCTCCTCACTTCAACCCTAAGCACTTTGACGCGCGTGTCCGGGTGTTTATATGCTGACCTCGCGCCTCAACAAGCTTCTGATTGGTCAGTGTCAATACTCCTGGCCACCATTGATTGACAGATGTGTGAAGCAAATGCGCGTGCCCACAGAACAGTTTTTCGATGTCGAGGAAGGGTGTGAGAGAAACATCAGCCATCCAGATAAAGAGATGCACGTGGAATTATTGAACTGGGAACATTTTCACACTGGGAGAAATTGTACAGCATGACGTCACAATAACAACACAATCAGAACGATTGGGAACTATTTCACGCTGGGAAGATTTTTACATGACACAGGGTACCACCTCATCACTCATAGGGATTACGGCTGAGGGATTCATTCTGCTCTGTATACCTTTCCTTTAATCCCCTGCATTAGACCAACAGACCTGCTTATCATATAATACTATTGAATTGACATGTTCGATCCAGCAACATGATCTGATAAGACAACGTTATGTAACCTTGGATGGCACCCTATTCCCTTCATACTGCACTACATTTGGCCAGGGTCCATGGAGCTCTGGTTAAAAGTAGTGCACTAGAAAGGGAATAGGGTGCCATTTGGGACACAGCCCTAGTGGTAGAAAGGATGCGACCCCTTTTCGTTAGGCATCACTATGGGTTTGCATTGGCAGTGGCATCACACCAGGTTAACCGATCATTGTTTTATTTTCCTGCTTTCCCAGAACCAAAGCTCTGGTGTTGGAGTTACTAGCCGCGGTGTGTCTCGTCAGGGGAGGACACGAAATCATCCTCTCTGCGTTCGACAACTTCAAGGAGGTATGGTGCGGGGGATGCGCAGACAAGAAGATAGCGCTATGCTATTATACTATGCTAAACAGTGTCATTTCATGTAGTTCACTTAGTGAGTCTTGTAGTAGAGGAATGTTCTCAACAGCAGACCCGAGGTTGGTCAATTCCTGTGGAGGATTGCATCTAGGAATGCAGCACTGCCTATATCAAAGGCTATAGACACGTTGCTCAGCATCTCTCAGCTGGAAAGGCAGTTCACTGACCTCTCAGGCCCACAGAGAAAACAGTTTGTTTGTGATTCAGCAGGCAATACAGCCTGATCAGGGGCCGTATGAACCTAGTTTCGCAGAGTAGGAGTGCTGATCCAGGATCAGGTCCCCCCGTCCATGTAATCTTCAATCTTCAGTATGATCTAGAAGGGAAAACTGATCCAAGATCAGCACTACTCTGAGACACTTGATACATACATATGCCCCCTGACCCTGTGTGTCTGCATTTGTATGTGTAGAGTATTTGGGCTTCCGTAGAAAGGAGTGGGAGTAAGGTGGAGTATGGAGTGGCCCTCTGTACAACAGTCCCATTCGCAGGCCGGCTCTGGAAAAATTGGGCTGACTGCAGTTAATGCAATATTTACACCCAGAATAAAATATAGAGCATTACTCTCTATTGTATTTCACTGTTATTAGAGGTGGACTAGCCAACTCTAAAGCTCAGAGCCGCTCCCCCATAAACAGAAGGTAGAGACATAGCCATGTGTGCCGCTGCACTATTAAAGTCAATGGATAGCGATCGACCCTTCACAATATATGTGGTTGAAACGGCAATGTTCCAAAAATAACTATTAGATTATCTTATTGGTCACATTGTACAATCGTTATTGGTTGGCAGTATGTGTCATATAAACTGTAATATAAAAACAGCGCTTTCTTTTTCTGCTTTTCTGTAGGGTTTTATGCTAAAATACAACTGATATAAAACAAGTGTTATTTTGGCTTGCTTGAGTTGAGATGGTGCTCATTGCTCTCCCTCTATGGGGAGGCTTGTTGTTAGGGGGCTCTTGACTCCCCGCCCTATGGGTTAGAGGGGGTTGTTTGGAGTGGGGGGCAGGGTGCAGGCTGGGGCACAGAGCATTGTGTGGAGGTCTGTGCATATGCACTCCTCTCTTCCCTCTCCTCCTCCTCCTCCTCTCCTTGGCTCTTTATCTTTCCTCTGTCTGTCTGTCTCCCCTTCCATGCCTTAAAGCGATGTCTGAACTGCAGAGGTGCCTCCCTCTTCCCCCTACCACCCTCTCTCTCTCTTCTCTCTCTTCTCTCTCTCCCCTCTCTCTCTCTCTCTCTCTCCCCCCCTCCCCCCCCTCTCTCTCTCTCTCTCTCTCTCTCTCTCTCTCTCTCCCCCCTCTCTCTCTCTCTCTCTCTCTCTCGCTCTCTCTCTCCCTCCTCTCTCTCTCTCTCTCTCTCTCTCAGTGCTGCATATATGGTAATCACAGAGGGGGGAAATAGGTTGTGAGTGTTACAAAGCCAGCCCTATGCCAGGGGAGGTTCTGCTTGATATTTTATCAGGGAAGGATTCAAGAGTGATGGGAGGGAGTGAGGAGACAGTACAGGGCTAGGTTTTATATAAGGCAGAGATTATGACGGAAACATTTCATTTCTCTTGCTAAGGTAATACATGCTGCATTGCAAATCCTGTAACACTTAACTTGAAGCATCCATGTATAATGCATTATGATGCAGTTATGATGCATTGTAAGACTTGTGATGAGCATTTACATGTAGGCTTTGACCCGCTTATAATGTCTTAAACATATTTAATGATTCAGACTCAATAGCAGCCAGTTTGAGACAACTGAAAAATGTTATGCATAGAGAGACATAACAGCCTTGTTATAATACGTTATTAAGGCTCATACATGCTTATAACAAGTCATAAAGCGTTATATCTGGATGCTCTAAGTACAGTGGTACATAAAGATTCATTTCATCACCTTTTGAGTCCATGACTAAAAGTGAATGATTGATTTTTCTTGCAGGTGTGTGCTGAGACACAGAGGTTCGAGAAGTTGATGGAACATTTCAAGGACATGGATAACAACATTGACTTTATGGTACACAACATTTCCACTGGACTAGCCATCGGTTGTTAGGTTACATCATATCCTGAAATCACATTTTATAACCAGACCCTGCCTGCCGTGTGTGCATGAGAGGCCAACCAGATGCCGTGTGTGTTTGAGTAGGCCTTGTGTGTCACAAGTCACAAGTCCGTTCTGAGCCATTTGGTAGAGTGCCATTCGTTTGACTCGAGCACGAAAGCGAACAGATTTGTCAGACAGGGCTGGCATCTCGCACCCAGTTGACTCCAAGTTCTTAAGGAAGTCCATTAAGACAGTATTAGCAGTGTGACAAGAATGCACTGATTCTGTGGCACTCCACTGGGTACATTTAACACTGAAGTGTGTCCCAAATGTCACCCTATTCCCTATGTAGTGCACTACTTTTGACCAGAGCCCAATGGGATTAGAGTGCTATTTGGGATGCCACCTGAAGTGAATTCCTTTATCTGCCCATTTAGCATGACGAATGCAGCCACATCATTTCCATACTCATGCTCATTTACACACTAAGACTTATTCCCAAATGGCACCCTACTCTCTTTATAGTACATGGAATAGTGTAATTTGGGATGCACACTATATTACATGGATGTTTCGGTATCAGTACAGTGAAATATCGCTGGATGGGTGTTGTGCTTGTTGGTCCCTATAGGTGGCATGTATGCAGTTCATCAACATCGTGGTCCACTCGGTAGAGGACATGAACTTCAGGGTTCACCTGCAGTACAACTTCACCAAGCTCTGTCTGGACGACTACCTGGATGTAAGTAGATGGACACCAGCCAGAGTTGGGGTCAATTAGGGCAGTGGCGGTCATGACATTTTGTCAGCCGGTTATTGTCATGCAAAAGACTGCCAGTCTCATGGCAATTGACCGTTAATTAACATGAACATGTTTAGCATCTCCAGGCCTCCACGCATACAAGCCATATGCACTTTCACAATACATCCATTATTTATTTTAGTCCGGTCTAAAGAAACATTATGATATGAAGAAAATGTATTTCAGAAGAACAGAATATGAGTTGGCCTACTGTATGTTATCTGGCTATGCTCCATGCCATAGGCTGTAGGCTTGTTCATTTAGCTGACAAGATATGCTTACAAGTCCTGTGACATTATTTTATTTATATGGTTTTATAGTAAGAAGAATATAATTGAACTTAGCTGAATAAAATAGAAAGGATATTATTCCCATTATGGAGCGAGTGCGCATATGAAGTGGCTATGTTGAGCATAAAAGTGATCATTTGAAACAGGTCCTATATGCTAGATGTAGAGTTATTTGGCAACTTTAGTTGTGAATGATACAAACCTTAGACTGTCTTAGAAATCTAAACATATAGCTTGCACTCTGTTCCTCACCTCAGGCTGCACAGCTGTTCTCTCATCAAGTGATCATATTTTCACCCATCAGACTATTCTCAATTTAATCTGGTCTTTACTAATATGTCAAGTTAGTTTCGATTTAGAATTGGCCGTTATAAAATGGGCAGGAACCGGGTTCAGGGGAAAGGGAATAGCGAAAAGGGAGGGCGCGCGCTTTCCCACTGGTCCGTTTTGTAGGCTACTTCGGTTTTATAGCGGAAGATGTGCTTAATATGAGCAGCTGAGAAATAAATATAAGAATACTTATTTAACTCCACGCATCAACCACTGTTTGAGGAGCATGCTCTCGCTGCTCAACAGGTGATATTCTGCCCAAACTCTGTATGCCTTGGGCTCTCCAACCTTGTTCCTGCATCTACCCAGTGCTTAATTTGGGAAACCAAGTGAAATATGTTCGGGAACATCGATAGTAACATGTTTTCGCAACAAAACATATTTCACTAAACTGTTGACAGCCCCTCTGCATGCTCGAGAAAGGAATAAAGGAGAGAGAGTAGGAGATGAAAATGCATGGTGGTGAGATATTCTGTATAGATAAAGGTAATGTGCCACCCAATTAATTATGAAAATATAAAATAAATCACATTACTAGGCTATTCAAAATCAAATACAAATTCACTAATTGTAGGCTAACTGTAAGCCGCCCTGCACAATCAATTAACCAACAGCATCGCCTAGGGCTATAGACGTTCTCTCCCAGACTCATGGATAGACATTTTGGAGCGTAGCATAAGGTAACCAGTCCATCCAGTATGCATAATAATACAGTCCACACTCGAAGGCGATTACTCAAATTTGTTTAATTTTGGAGTATAGGCTAGACCAATTATGTACCAAAGACGTCTTAAATCAGTTTTGTTTTATGTTTTTCTGCCATGTGTAATATGGGTAGGCTATGTATTGTGTAACGGCACAATCCTCATTTTAATTCAGGTTTTTCTTTCGGGCTTGTGCTCATAAACTTATGCATATGCATAAGCTCTAATATGCTGTTTAAGTTCTTTCTTCAAATTGATCATCACATGGTGAGTGAGGTGAGTTTTAAAAGTATGATAGGCCTACTGTTTTGATGATAAGTGTTTGATGTGATTTTCGATTGCATTTACATTGATGTCAGAGTGGTTAGAGGGACAATAGAGCCCTGAGTATCAGGCCATTAGGACCTGATGGTAGTTAGCAAGTTGGGTACTACCAAAGCATGTCCAGAGTGCATAAAAGGAGATTACCATGACTCAACGGTTATGTGGAATTTTACTGCGGTCATGACTCATGACTGCCGGTGTGGCGGTAATACCGTAACCACAACAGCCCTCGAGTCAATTCCATTTCAAGTCAGTCAATTCAGGAAGTAAACAGAATTGCAATGTTTTTTTCTCACAGAGAAGCATTGAGGAGAATTGGAATTGGGAATTATTTTTACTTACTGAATTGACTGAATTGTGAAGGAATTGACCCCAAACCTGCTATATATCACAGGAAATATGTAGAGAAGCTAATAAAAACACGCACTTAGATAATCAGCTCAGACTCTGAAACAAGGTCAATACTCAGTTTTCCCTCTGTTTAGAAAGTGAGTTTATTCTATAGACCCTCGCCTTGACTGGAGAGGCTAAAATCCATCCTTGTCTTTGAGATGCGACCCTGTGTGCAATGCACTGGCCCAATCAGTCCCTTTCCCTCCTCAGACCTGTCTGTCTGTCTGCCTGTCTGTCTGTTTGTCTGTCTATCCATCCGACTGCCTGCATGTCTGTCTATCTGTCGTTCTGGATAAGAGTGTCTGCTAAATTATCTGCTAAATGTAAATCTAATGTAAATCTAATGTGTCTGTCTGTCTGTCTGTCTGTCTGTCTGTCTGTCTGTCTGTCTGTCTGTCTGTCTGTTCTGTCTGTCTGTCTGTCTGTCTGTCTGTTCTGTCTGTCCTGTCTTGTCTGTCTGTCTGTCTGTCTGTCTGTCTGTCTGTCTGTCTGTCTGTCTGTCTGTCTGTCTGTCTGTGTGTGTGTGTGTGTGTGTGTGTGTGTGTGTGTGTGTGTGTGTGTGTGTGTGTGTGTGTGTGTGTGTGTGTGTGTGTAGAAGCTGAAGCATACAGAGAGTGACAAGCTGCAGGTCCAGATCCAAGCTTACCTGGACAACGTATTTGACGTGGGCGCCCTGCTGGAGGACGCCGAGACCAAGAATGCCGCGCTGGAGCGCGTGGAGGAGCTGGAGGAGAACATGTCACATGTGAGAAGAAACGACACCACACACAGACTTACTGTCTCTATCTAATACACTCTGACTGACTCTCTACAGAAGACTCTTGCCACCCTACATGTTGACTTTTTGATAACTCACTGCACCCGTCCCTTCTATCTGAATCCTCAATCACTCGTTCAGTGACTTGACATCCATCCATTAATTCATTAGTTAATTAATTAATACATGAATTCACTACAAACACTCACTCTGTGTATACGTGTCATGTGATCTGACTGACCCTCGACCTTTGCCCACCCAGATGACGGAGAAGCTGCAGGACACGGAGAACGAGGCCATGTCCAAGATCGTGGAGCTGGAAAAACAGCTGATGACGCGCAACAAGGAGCTCGACTCCGTCCGGGTGAGACTTCAGACTACTCACTCTGCTCCCTCAATCAATAGGGGAGAGGAGTTAATAACGTTGACGGCATAATTCACTAGAGTGACAGTTTCTAGAAGAAATGTTTTCCTGACCAAGATGGACAAATCTTTAGTCATGTTGCTAGGATGCCAGTTGTCCATTCTACTTATTCTTTATGTAATTCTATGGCTGACGGACAGAGGTTGATAATCCTCTGATCTGCATGCAATACAGTAACATCTCTGTCTGTTCCCTGCCCCCCCCCCCCACCCAGGAGGTGTACAAGGACGCCAACTCGCAGGTTCACACACTGCGGCGGATGGTGAAGGAGAAGGACGAGGCCATCCAGAGGCAGTGCAACCTGGAGAAGAAGATCCACGAGCTGGAGAAGCAGGGCACCATCAAGATCCAGAAGAAGGGCGACGGGGACATCTCCATCCTACCCTCGCCGCCCGCCCCCGGGGGCCCACTGGTGGCCGGATTTAAGGGTGTACCAGGGGCCTATAACGGGGGTGCGGTCTGCCCGATGGGGTCGAATGGGATCCCGGGGATGCCTGCGCCACCCCCGCCCCCTCCTCCTCTCCCACCGCCTGTGCCTGAGACTGGTAGGTGGAATTCCGAGTTCAGACCAATCCCGGCTTAGCTTACTGTTTAATCACAGACGGTAGCTAAGCAGTCTGGACTGCTAGTTGCTAGTTTCACAACATGCCCTTAAATTTTTACTGTCCTATTTTCTTAAGTGGAATTTAAAGTACCGGTATGCCGTTAGGCCAAGCTGTTCCAGCTCTGGCATTTGAGTTGTAACAAAAACAGACACAGAGGCAGAGCTGGGGAAGCCAGCAGAGAGAGAGCGAGAGAGAGAAAGAGAGCAGAGCAGTCACATGAGAGGAGTTTGTACTCTGCTGATTGAGTCTCAATGGGAGTCAGCACTTGGCATGCTGTCATCTCAATTCCACGCTTACTTTCTCTCTCTTTCTCTCGCTCGCTCGTTCCCTCTCTGCTCCTGTTTGTTCATCCTCTTCTCTATTTCTCTCCCTCTATTCCAGTGCCAAATGGGTCATTGGCTGGCCATGCCGCTCCTCCCCCTCCCCCGCCTCCCCCGCCTCCCCCCGGCCCTATGGAGGTGTCTGCCCCCCCGCCCCCGCCTCCACCCCCCATGGCCCCCCCGCTGCCCGGCTGTGGATCCCCCACCGTCATCTTCAACTCAGGGTTAGCAGGTAAGGTCATCCCACCCAGACGGCGCCCGTGTGTGAGACTGAATGCGTCTCAAATGGCACCCTATTCCCTTTGTAGTGGACGTGGATGAATCACACTGTACCAGACAATGAAAGATGGGTTTTCACAATACGCTTTTGTTCAATCACTTTGGTGCTATTTTCACAAGTATGTGGTGAATTTTCAAAACTCTTAATACAAAACTCCAAACTGGTAACACTTATTCAAAACCTTTTATTGTGCATACATTTTGGTTGGAGACATCTTTCACCACACAACCATTGATCCAAAAAATATGTTTACTGTGAAATACCATGATAAAAAATGTACCCATCAAAATGCCCATAATTTCTATCCAATGTCAAAGGTGAGATTATTGAAGACATTTTTGATGCAAAAATATATTGTTCAGATATAATTACAACATGGTGTACTGTATTAAAATGAAACAAATGAAATTAATGAAATAAACTAATTTTTGCAGCCACTAGTTTGCATCAAGCCTGTCTTGAGCATTTGGCCATAGGTTCTCATTGACATTGCAGCAAATGTCCTCATTGTTCATGCACCTGGAGAAAAACCTTTTGGCATGGCAAATCATTGCATGCCTCATCCATGGCCTGGAGGAGGGTGGCACACTCATGGGGATGGGGATCATGTGCAATGTGAAACGTATTTCTAGATGAAACACTGATTAAGTTTGATGAAAAAATTACTATGTTTTTGTGTGTTGTACTTAGTCAATTTAAAATGTGCTTAGAGTTTTAAAACAACTGCCTTTTCGATGATCTGTTTTGAGTTTTACACTAAGCATTGTGAAAATGTACCACATACTTGTGGAAATTGCACACCATGTGCTTTCCAATGCTTCGAAATTCACAATCTTAATCTACACTATGTTGCCTCATCAACTGAGCTGTGTGTGTGTGTGTGTGTGTGTGTGTGTGTGTGTGTGTGTGTGTGTGTGTGTGCGTGTGTGCGTCAGACTGACAGTAGCAGAACAGGAGCCAAGCCTCCTGAGATCCTCTAGGCCTTTTGAACCCTGCTGATAACTACAGTATCAGTGTGTCTGATGTTGGTTACTCACCGCTATTTCAAGCTGCTTGACTTCCTGGATATCAGGGCGTGGATAGCATGGGTGACTCAGAGCGGATGTGACAGCTAGTCAGGCCTCTTCTGACTCACTGACTGGCCTCCCCCTTAACCTATCATTGTGTGTCACTGGGTCTGTATACACTGCAGACTTTGACCAGTTGAGACAAAGATGCAATGTGACACAAGATCATTCCAAAATTTGACCTTTCACCTTGAATATGCCTCTTGATCTGAAGCATTAATTCAGTATATGACAGCACTAGCAGTAGTACACTTTCAACTGTAAAGCTTGTTTTGTCCACGTTTATTATTATTGTCTATTATGATTTATTATCTTACTAATGTCTCTCTCTTTAAAATGGATGCACAACATTATTTTGTTATTAATGATTTCTCTGGTTGTTTTTCTCTCTACCTTCTTTTCTGCTAACCAGAGGGACCAATCAAACTGTTCTGTAGGTTTTTTCTGTCATGTGGTTGTGTTTTCACTGTTCCTCGTCTCCCAAGTAATTGGAAATTGTATTTTCTGTTGTAACCGCAAACGTGAAGACAAGACACACACACACACACACACACACACACACACAGGAAGAATGTCCACATAGAGATGGCCCTTTATGCTCTATGATTCTTTCAGTCTAACCAAGCATGAAACTCTTTTTTTCATGCATTCTCTTTGAATTCTCTTACGACTGTTTGCAAACTCCCCAAAAATATTCATAATTCTTCACTGCTGTACTGTAAAAGGCTCGAGCACACCAAAATATGAAACCACAGTCTATCCACAAAACATGAACCACAGGACATTGACTCCTAGTTGGAGTCGTTTGTCATCATTATCGGATCCTGAAATGCTGGGGTCCTTAGCCTGTTAAATATAATGGGATGAGACAAAATACTGTACAATGTGTCTTACTTAGTCTTGACCGATGGGAAAGCACTGAAAATGCCATATTTCCAACTCCTGCATGGTCTCCATACTGTACTCTACCTTGTGTGTGTGTGTTTTATTGTGATGTCTGGAAGTGTCTGTTGTTGCATGTTGAAACACATTGACGTGCTGCTGCAGGTAGGCTGGTGATGCTAGTAAGATAGGAGAGTGTTGTGCAAGCCTGGAATGCCCTGGTTGTCACACTCTCCAATCCTGATCCTTATCGCTCTGCTCCACCGCCAGCGGTACCTCTGTCTGTCTGTGTGCTACTCATGTGGCAACACGAGAGGTTACCCGGGGAGAGGCAGTCAATCTGGGCTTATATACTCAGTATGGCCATAATCCTTGTCTATATAAACACAATCTGCTGCTGTGGCATGGATGACAACCGTAGCCATATGCACATTCAATATCGTAGCTAACTCAATTTGGTGTCCCCCAAGGCACTATTCTGGGCCTGCTTCTGAATTGGATGTCTTGGTTAAATAAAGGTTAAATCAATAAACTGTAGTGGCTATGGCTAGCAGTAAAGAGCTAGCCAGAGCCCATCATGCCCTGCTATAGAAGCGGCTGTAGAGCACATCTCCAGTTCTCTCAGGTGTGACTTAACATGAGACAAACGGCCAGTCTCAGCCTATTTATCTATCTACGGAGGGAGGCATCTCCATGTGTGTCACTACCACCAGTCACTGATAAGACTGTGTGTGTCCCACATGGCACCCTTATTCCCTATATAGTGCACATTATTTCCTATATAGTGTAGTGGAGGCTGCTGAGGGGAGGACGGCTCATAGTAATGGCTGGAATGGAGTCAATGGAATGGTATCAACCACATGTTTGAAACCATTCCATTGACTCCATTCAAGCCATTATTATGAGCCTCCTCCCCTCACCAGCCTCCACTGATATAGTGCACTTCTTTTGTAGTACTAAAAGTAGTGAACTACATAGTGAATAGGGTGCCATTTGGGATGCATGCAGCCTATGTCTATCCCCCATCACACGACTTGTGCACTGTGTGTTTGTGAGAGCGATGATAGAGATAGGTAGATGGTGTACTTGCTGACTTATTCCTCTGTGTTCCGGTGTAGCCGTGAAGATTAAGAAGCCTATCAAGACCAAGTTCCGTTTGCCGGTGTTGAACTGGGTGGCACTGAAGCCCAACCAAATCAACGGCACTGTGTTCAATGAGATCGACGACGAGAGGATACTGGAGGTAGGGAACCATCCACTCACCCCCACAGATATGCATTTCACACTTTGACCTTCTATAAAAGCTATGTTGGTCTACTGTACTTCAAACAACATGTAGGCTACTCACCACAGGGCAGGTTGCTTAGGATTCAAACCTTCTCACTTGAAGTGTGTTTTCAACCTCAGGACCTGAACGTGGATGACTTTGAGGAGATGTTCAAGACGAAAGCCCAGGGCCCGGCCATCGACTTGACCATGAGCAAGACCAAGGTCATCCAGAAGGGTCCCAACAAGGTGGCGCTGCTGGATGCCAACCGGGCCAAGAACATGGCCATCACCCTGAGGAAAGTGGGCAAGGCCCCCGAGGAGATCTGCAAGGCCATTCAGCTGTAAGACGTCAAGGACTCCTCCTACACTACACAACCTAGTGGTCTTCTTAATCTACAGTACTAGTCAAAAGTTTGAACACACCTACTCATTCAAGGGTTTTTCTTTATTTGTACTATTTTCTACATTGTAGAATAATAGTGAAGACATCAAAACTATGAAATAACACATATGGAATCATGTAGTAATCAAAAAAGTGTTAAACAATTTTTGAGATTCTTCAAATAGCCACCCTTTGCCTTGATGACAGCACCTTGATGGCTTCACCTGGAATGCTTTTCAAACAGTCTTGAAGGAGTTCCCACATGTGCTAAGCACTTGTTGGCTGCTTTTCCTTCACTCTGCCATCCGACTCATCCCAAACAATCTCAATTGGGTTGAGGTCGGGGGAGTGTGGAGGCCAGGTCATCTAATGCAGCACTCCATCACTCTCCTTCTTGGTCAAATAGCCTTTATACAGCCTGGAGGTGTGTTGGGTCATTGTCCTGTTGAAAAACAAATGATAGTCCCACTAAGCCCAAACCAGATAGGATGGCGTATCGCTGCAGAATGCTGTGGTAGCCATGCAGGTTAAGTGTGCCTTGAATTCTAAATAAATCACAGACAGTGTCACCAGCAAAGCACTCCCACAACATAACACCTCCTCCTCCATGCTTTACGGTGGGAAATACACATGCGGAGATCATCCGTTCACCCACACCACATCTCACAAAGCCACGCCGGTTGGAACTAAAAATCTCAAATTTGGACTCCAGACCAAAGGACACATTTCCACCAGTCTAATGTCCATTGCTCGTGTTTCTTGACCAAAGCAAGTCTCTTCTTGGTGTCTTTTAGTAGTCGGTTCTTTGCAGCAATTTGACCATGAAGGCCTGATTCACACAGTCTCCTCTGAACAGGTGATGTTGAGATGTGTCTGTTACTTGAACTCTGTGAAGCATTTATTTTGGCTGCAATTTCTGAGGCTGGTAACTCTAATGAATTTATCCTCTGCAGCAGAGGTAACTCTGGGTCTTCCATTCCTGTTGTGGTCCTCATGAGAGCCAGTTTCATCAAAGTTCTTGAAATGTTCCGTATTGACTGACCTTTATGTCTTAAAGTAATGATGGACTGTCATTTCTCTTTGCTTATTTGAGCTGTTCGTGCCATAATATGGACTTGGTCTTTTACCAAATAGGGCTATCTTCTGTATACCAACCCTACCTTGTCACAACACAACTGATTGGCTCAAACGCATTAAGACAAATTAACTTTTAACAAGGCACACCAGGTGACTACCTCATGAAGCTGGTTGAGAGAATGCCAAAGCTGTCATCAAGGCAAAGGGTGGCTATTTGAAGAATCTCAAATCTCAAATATATTTGGATTTGTTTAACACTTTTTTGGTTACTACATGATTCCATATGTGTTATTTCATAGTTTTGATGTCTTCATTATTATTTTACAATGTAGAAAATAGTAAAAATAAAGAAAACCCCTTGAATGAGTAGGTGTGTCCAAACTTTTGACTGGTGGTGCATTTAGCACCGCGAATTAGGGTTTGTTTGTGTGTCTGCATAGCATAGCGTCTGTGTGCATGTCTGTGTCTCCAGTCCGTGTTTGTGTGTGTGTTTGTCTGTGCCTCCGCATAACGTGCATGTCTGTGTCTCCAGTCCGGGTAATAACCGATATCCCCTGCGTCCCCCCACCCGTCAGGTTTGACCTGCGCACCCTGTCGGTGGACTATGTGGAGTGTCTGATGCGCTTCCTGCCCACGGAAAACGAGGTGAAGATCATGCGTCAGTACGAGAAGGAGAAGAAGCCATTGGAGGCGCTGACGGACGAGGACCGCTTCATGATGCACTTCAGCAAGATAGAGCGGCTCATGCAGAAGATGACCATCATGGCCTTCATAGGCAACTTCTGCGAGAGCGTGCAGATGCTGACACCGGTGAGGCTCTCTCAGGGCTTACCAGATATGATTGAGGTTATAGGTGATGGGAGAGGAGGATTCATTCTTCGGCCCTGTATACACTCAAGTTTTGCAACTGATATGGAATGCTTTTGGGTTTTGTGATACAACGGGGAGTGTTTCTGCACACAAAAAATTACACAAGCATTGTGGAGACACTGCACAGGCATTGTGTGAACATTTTTGTGCAGACCAACTAGGGCTGGGCGATATGGCCAAAATATCATATGACAGTATATTTCAAAATGTTGATGCTATTTGACGGTATTTTATGTTTTTGAATAATAATATTTGCTTTAAGAGTAGTGGGACCCTAGGGTTGCAACACATACATTCTAAGTGATTTCACTGGGTCTTTCTCCATTCTGATTGTTTTATACTGTTTAACTTCAACCAAAATTAATTTCCTGCATTTTCATAAATTCCTGCATTTCCTGCACTCATTTGAGGTAACTTCCACACTACCACGTAGGGCTGCACGATATGGGCAAAAAATCGAGGCCTTATTTTTAACCAAATATTGCAATTACGATTTGACTTGCGATTTAGATCAAAACAGTTTGGTGAACTGTTGGAATCATGGAAATAGAATGTTTATTCTAATTCTATAGTTAGAATATAAATAATAGTGGGGACTTTGAACACAGTGTTGTTTGACATGACAAGGAATTTTAAAAAATGCCAGGGAGGAGTTATTGTGACAGGGTAGGAACCAAAGTGTTGGTCAGTATTTCCTATGGGACCCTATAATGTTTAGCTATATTAAATGTTTCTTCATTTAGCCAACATATTCATGCTTTGCCTATTCCTCTTTGATTTTAAAGATACTGCTGCACAAACAACATGCTGATTTAGGCCTACACCATCACTGGTATCAGTCTGTATAGCTAGCTATGTTTGCTCTGACTCAGTACATTTGCTAGCTAGGTAGCCAGCTAACTAGCGATTAGCATTAGTGGCTAACACGGTTTACCTTGCTAAGAAAAGACAGACTAGCTGTTTGCAGATGTAAGAAACACAAACTAATAGTGTGGATTTATATTAAGAAGCAAAGTGGAAACAACATTGTGCTGCATTGACCATGCGAACTGAACGCAAGTGTCTGTGGTCAAGCAACAACAAATGCACTCCTTGAGTGACAGGGCTAGGTCTGTGTGGAAAGCGGCATGAAGAGAGAGATGGCTCAAGTGTGTTTATTTTACCAGGTAAATTGACTGAGAACACATTCTCATTTACAGCAATGACCTGGGGAATAGTTACAGGGGAGAGGATGGTGGATGAATGAGCCCATTGGAAGATTATGGGGGATGATTATGTGGCCATGATGGTATGAGAGCCAGATTGGGAATTTAGGCAGGACACTGGGGTTAACACCCCTACTCTTACAATAAGTGCCATGGGATCTTTAGTGACCACAGAGAGTCAGGTCACCCGTTTAACATCCCATCTGAAAGACAGAACCCTACACAGTGCAATGTCCCCAATCACTGACCTGGGGGCATTGAGATATATTTTAGACCAGAGGAAAGAGTGCCTCCTACTGGCCCTCCAACACCACTTCCAGCAGTATCTAGTCTCCCATCCAGGGACCGACCAGGACCAACCCTGCTTAGTTTCAGAAGCAAGCCAGCAGTTGGATGCAGGGTGGTATGCTGCTGGCCCAAGTAGCGGTGTAAACTATAAAAATGGACGTTACACATGGCATATCAAATTTAACAAACCAAAAGTTCAAATACCGTTATAGAAGGTAAACTAAAAACCCAAACCAGTCTGTGCATCAATACCGGTATATAGTAAAATATGGTATTCCGCCCAGCCCTAAGACCAACTCTCCATTGTATCACAAATATATCAGTCGTATCACAACCATTGTATAATATGTTGTACAGTGACTTGCAAAAGTATTCATCCCCCTTGGTGTTTTTTATATTTTGTTGCATTACAACCTGTAATTTAAATTTATTTTTATTTGGATTTCATATAATGGACATACACAAAATAGTCCAAATTGGTGAAGTGAAATGAAAAAAATAAAAGCAAACACATTTGGTGTTTGCCAAAAGGCATGTGGGAGACTCCCCAAACATATGGAAGAAGGTACTCTGGTCAGATGAGACTAAAATTGAGCTTTTTGTTCATCAAGGAAAACGCTATGTCTGGCGCAAACCCAACACCTCTCATCACCCCGAGAACACCATCCCCACAGTGAAGCATGGTGGTGGCAGCATCATGCTGTGGGGATGTTTTTCATCGGCAGGGACTGGGAAACTGGTCAGAATTGAAGGAATGATGGATGGCGCTAAATACAGGGAAATTCTTGAGGGAAACCTGTTTCAGTCTCCCAGAGATTTGAGACTGGGACGGAGGTTCACCTTACAGCAGGACAATGACCCTAAGCATACTGCTAAAGCAACACTCGAATGGTTTAAGGGGAAACATTTTAATGTCTTGGAATGGCCTAGTCAAAGCCCAGATCTCAATCCAATTGAGAATCTGTGGTATGACTTAAACATTGCTGTACACCAGCGGAACCCATCCAACTTGAAGGAGCTGGAGCAATTTTGCCTTGAAGAATGGGCAAAAATCCCAGTGGCTAGATGTGCCAAGCTTAGAGAGACATATCCCAAGAGACTGGCAGCTGTAATTGCTGCAAAAGGTGGCTCTACAAAGTATTGACTTTGGGGGGGTGAATAGTTATGCACGCTCAAGTTTTATTTTTTTTGGTCTTATTTCTTGTTTGTTTCACAACAAAAAATATTTTGCATCTTCAAAGTGGGAGGCATGTTGTGTAAATCAAATGATACAAACCCCCCAAAAATCAATTTTAATTCCAGGTTGTAAGGCAACAGAATAGGAAGAGTGGGGGTGAATACTTTCGCAAGCCACTGTACATCAGTTGTACAACCTGTGTGTACAGGGCCTTCTTTAATTTGACTTATTCTCCTCTTGTCTGACTTTTGTTCTACTTCCTTCTTTCTTATTCTTTACAGCAACTTCATGCGATCATCGCTGCATCTGTGTCAATAAAATCCTCACAGAAACTCAAGAAAATTCTTGAGGTAAGCGACCAATTACAGATTTCTTTGCATCAAAAATACTCTGTGCTGATTTTTTTGTTGTTGAAAATATTGTTCCTGGCTGCCTTCTGTGTTGATGTTCCAATGCTGTTGTTTTCCCCCACAGATTATCTTGGCTCTCGGAAACTACATGAACAGCAGTAAAAGGGGAGCAGTATACGGTTTTAAACTACAAAGTTTAGATTTGGTAAGAGATTCTCTCTCCCATCTTAAATGTATTGCTAGTGCATAACGTGCTTCAGGATTGTCATTGTTTGCATCCCAAATTGCACCCTATTCCCTATGTAGTGCACTATTTTGAACCACAGCCCTATGGGCCCTAGTCAAAAGTAGTGCACTACATAGGGAATAGGGTGCCATTTGGGACGCATGATCTTCACACGTCTTTTTATCCTCTAATTACCCCAGCTACTAGACACCAAGTCGACAGACCGGAAAATGACACTGTTGCACTACATAGCCAACGTGGTGAAGGAGAAATACCACCAAGTCAATCTGTTCTACAATGAACTGCATTATGTGGAGAAGGCTGCAGCAGGTACGATTCACAACAAAGCCTAGTGATATTACAGTGATAAAGGGCTGATGCTAAATCAGATCCTAGGCTGCACCCTATTCCCTACATAGTGCACTACTTTTGACCAGAGCCCTGAGGCCCTTGGTCTAAAATAGTGCACTATATAGGGAATAGGGTGCTATTTGGGACGAATCCCTAATGAACTACATGAACAGCAGTAAAAGGGGAGCAGTATACGGTTTTAAACAAAGTTTCAGTTTTGTAAGATATTCTCTCTCCCATCTCAAATGTATTGCTAGTGCATAATTTGCTTCAGGATTGTAATTGGCTGAATAAATGGCACCCTATGGGCCCTGGTCTAAAGTAGTGTACTAAATATGGAATAGGGTGCCATTTGGGACGCATACCTAATGATCAGTCATTGGATTTGGACAGGATTGTAGCCTATCTTTGGTCTGCAGGCACTTCTGTTGCTCTGTATCTTCAGTCATGTCCTACAATGCATTGTGGTGTTGTTCTCTTGCTGGGGCATTGACTCCTCCATGCTGGGTGTTACTCTGAAGACCTGTGCTGTAAACTCACTGAGGTATGGCCCTCCTTGGGGAGTACCCTGCTTCGAACAGTTTGCAATTCTGTTTGTGTGTGTGTGTGCGCAATCTCAGTGTCGTTAGAGAACGTTCTGCTGGACGTGAAGGAGCTCCAGCGGGGAATGGACCTGACCAAGAGAGAATACAGCATGCATGGTCACAACACCATGCTCAAAGACTTCATCACACACAACGAGGGCAAGCTGAAAAAGCTGCAGGACGACGCCAAGATCGCACAGGTAAACCTCACCTCACTAAATTTCTAATACAGCAACTTTATTAAAGGTTAATGGGGCATTTTCCTGGACACAGATTAAGCCTAATCCTGGACTAAAAAGCACTTTCAATGGAGATTCTCCGCTTTTTAGTTCAGGACTAAGTTTAATCTATGTCTGACCGTATTGTTTGATGGGACTAATTTACGATTGGCATATGTTTAGATGATAAAGAACGTCGCAGGGAAATCACGAATGCAAAATGTGCTATTTTCTTCTCACAGGACGCCTTCGACGAGGCGGTCAAATTCTTTGGCGAGAATTCCAAAACGACGCCCCCGTCCGTGTTCTTCCCGGTGTTTGTGCGCTTTATCAAGGCCTACAGGGTGAGACTGATGTTCCTCTCTTACACACCCTTCAGAATGTCCAAAAAACATCCCACCCCACCTTCCGCTCCTGACCAACCCTCATCCCTGTTCCCCCGACTGTGGAAACGCCTCAGTCTAAGTGTGTATCCGTGTGTTTGTGTGTCTGTTCTTTCAGCAAGCGGAGGAGGACAACGAGCAGAGGAAGAGAGCGGAGCAGGTGATGATGGAGAAGCTTCTGGAGCAGGAGGCCATGATGGACCAGGAGCACCAGAAAGTAACCTCTCTCTCTCGCCGTCTCTCTCTCTCTCTCGCCGTCTCTCTCTCTCTATCGCCGTCTCTCTATCTCTCTCGCCGTCTCTCTCTCTCTCTCGCCGTCTCTCTCTCTCTCTCGCCGTCTCTCTCTCTCGCCGTCTCTCTCTCTCGCCGTCTTCTCTCTCTTCGCAAGTCTCTCTTCTATCTCTCTTTGCCGTCTCTCTCTCTCTCTCTCGCGTTCTCTCTTCGCCGTCTCTATATCTCTTCTCGCGTCTCTCTTCTCTCTCGCGTTTTCTTTTCTTCTCTCTATCGCCGTTCTCTCTCGCAGTCTCTCTCGCACGTCTCTCTCTCTCTCGCCATCTCTCTCTCTCTTCGCCGTCTCTCTCTCGCCGTCTCTCTCTCTCTCTCGCCGTCTCTCTCTCTTTTATCTCTCGTGTCTTTCTCTCTTCGCCGTCTTCTCTCTATCTCTCTCTGCTTGTCTCTCTCTCTCTCGCTGCTTCTCTCTCGCTGTCTTTCTCTCTCTCTCGCCGTCTCTCTCTCTCTCGCCGTCTCTCTCTCTCTCTCGCCGTCTCTCTCTCGCCGTCTCTCTCTCTCTCTCTCTCGCTGTCTTTCTCTCTCTCTCGCCGTCTCTCTCTCTCTCGCCGGTCTTTCTCTCTCTCGCCATCTCTCCTCTCGCCGTCTCTCTCTCTCTCGCCGTCTCTCTCTCTCTCGCCGTCTCTCTCTCTCGCCGTCTCTCTCTCGCCGTCTCTCTCTCTCTCGCGCGCGTCTCTCTCTCTCTCTCGCCGTCTCTCTCTCTCGCTGTCTCTCACCGTCTCTCGCCGTCTCTCTCTCGCCGTCTCTCTCTCTCTCGCCGTCTTTCTCTCTCTCTCGCGTCTCTCTCTCTCTCTCTCGCCGTCTCTCTCTGTCTCGCTGTTTTTTCTCTCTCTCTCGCTGTCTTTCTCTCTCTCTTGCCGTCTCTCTCTCTCGCTGTCTCTCTCTCTCTCTCTCTCTCGCTGTCTTTCTCACTCTCTCTTGCCGTCTCTCTCTCTCTCGCCGTCTCTCTCTCGCCGTCTCTCTCTCTCTCCGTCTCTCTCTCGCCGTCTCTCTCTCTCTCTCGCTGTCTTTCTCTCTCTCTCGCCGTCTCTCTCTCGCCGTCTCTCTCTCGCCGTCTTTCTCTCTCTCTCTCGCCGTCTCTCTCTCGCGTCTCTCTCTCTCTCTCGCCGTCTCTCTCTCTCGCCGTCTCTCTCTCTCGCGTCTCTCTCTCTCTCTCTCTCGCCGTCTCTCTCTCTCTCGCCGTCTCTCACCGTCTCTCGCCATCTCTCTCTCTCTCGACGTCTCTCTCGCTCTCGCCGTCTCTCTCTCTCTCTCTCTCTCTCTCGCCGTCTCTCACCGTCTCTCGCCGTCTCTCTCTCTCTCTCTCGCCCGTCTCTCTCTCTCGCCGTCTCTCTCTCTCTCTCTCTCGCCATCTCTCTCTCTCTCTCTCTCTCTCGCCGTCTCTCTCTCTCGCCGTCTCTCTCTCGCGTCTCTCTCTCTCTCTCTCGCCGTCTCTCTCTCTCTCGCCGTCTCTCTCTCGCCGTCTCTCTCTCTCTCGCCGTCTTTCTCTCTCTCTCGCCCTCTCTCTCTTCGCCGTCTCTCTCTCTCGCCGTCTCTCTCATCTCTCTCTCGCGTCTCTCTCTCGCCGTCTCTCTCTCGCCGCCTCTCTCTCGCCGTCTCTCTCTCTCTCTCTCGCCGTCTCTCTCACGCCGTCTCTCTTCTCTCGCAATCTCTCTCTCTATCTCGCCGTCTTTCTCTCTCTCTCGCCGTCTCTCTCTCTCTCGCCGTCTTTCTCTCTCTCGCCCCTCTCTCTCTGCCCCGTCTCTCCTCTCTCTCTCTCTCGCCGTCTCTCTCTCTCGCCATCTCTCTCTCTCTCTCGCTGTTTTTCTCTCTCTCGCTGTTTTTCTCTCTCTTCTCGCCGTCTCTCTCTCTCTCTTGCCCTCTCTCACCGTCTCTCGCCGTCTCTCTCTCTCGCCCAATATCTCTCTCTCTATCGCTGTCTTTCCCTCCTTCTCGCCGTCTCTCTCTCGCCGTCTTTCTCTCTCTCTCGCCCTCTCTCTCTCGCCGTCTCTCTCTCTCTCTCTCGCCATCTCTCTCTCTCGTCATCTCACCGTCTCTCTCTCGCCGTCTCTCTCCTCTCTCTCGCGTCTCTCTCACGCCGTCTCTCTCTCTCCTTTCTCGCCGTCTCTCTCTCTCTCGCCGTCTCTCTCTCTCTCGCCGTCTCTCTCGCCGTCTCTCTCTCGCCGTCTCTCTCTCTCTCTTTCTCTTTCTCTCTCCGTCTTTCTCTCTCTCTCGCCGTCTTTCTCTCTCTCTCGCCGTCTCTCTCTCTCGCCGTCTCTCTCTCTCGCCGTCTCTCTCTCTCGCGTCTCTCTCTCTCTCTCGCCGTCTCTCTCTCTCGCCGTCTCTCTCTCTCGCCGTCTCTCTCTCTCTCGCCGTCTCTCTCGCGTCTCTCTCTCTCTCTCTCGCCAGTCTCTCTCCTCTCTCGCACGTTCTCTCTCGCCGTCTCTCTCTCTCTCGCCATCTTTCTCTCTCTCTCGGCGTCTCTCTCTCTCTCTCGCCGTCTCTCTCTCTCTCGCTGTCTCTCTCTCTCGCCGTCTCTCTCTCTCTCGCCGTCTCTCTCTCTCTCGCCGTCTCTCTCTCGCCGTCTCTCTCTCTCTCGCCGTCTCTCTCTCTCTCGCCCGGTTCTCTCTCTCTTCTCTCTCTCGCGCTTTCTCTCTCTCTCTCGCCGTCTTTCTCTCCTCGCCCTCTCTCTCTCTCGCCGTCTCTCTCTCTCGATCTCCTCTCTTCTCTCGCAGTCTCTCTCTCTCGCCGTCTCTCTCTCTCTCGCCGTTCTCTCTCGCCCTTTTTCTCTCGCGTCTCTCTATCGCCGTCTCTCTCGCTCTCTCTTCTCTCTCTCTCGCAGTCTCTCTCTCTCTCCGTCTCTCGCCTCTCTCTTCGCGTCTTCTCTTCTATCTCGCCGTCTTCTCTCTCTCTCGCCTCTCTCTCTCTCGCCGTCTCTCTCTCTCGCCGTCTATCTCTCTCGCGTCTCTCTCTCTCTTCGCCGTCTCTCTCTCTCTTTCGCCGTCTCTCTCTCTCTCGCCGTTCTCTCTCTCTCCTCGTCTATCTCTCTCTCTCGCCGTCTCTCCTCGCCGTCTTCTCTCTCTCTCGCGTCTTTCTCTCTCTCTCGACGTCTCTCTCTCTCTCGCCGTCTTTCTCTCTCTCGCCGTCTCTCTCTCTCGCGTCTCTCTCTCTCTCTCTCGCCGTCTCTCTCTCGCCATCTCTCTCTCTCTCTCGCTGTTTTTCTCTCTCTCGCTGTTTTTCTCTCTCTCTCACCGTCTCTCTCTCTCTTGCCGTCTCTCTCTCTCTCTCGCCGTCTCTCGCCGTCTCTCTCTCGCCGTCTCTCTCTCTCACTCGCCGTCTCTCTCTCGCCGTCTCTCTCTCGCTGTCTTTCCCTCTCTCTCGCCGTCTCTCTCTCGCCGTCTTTCTCTCTCTCTCGCCCTCTCTCTCTCTCGCCGTCTCTCTCGCGTCTCTCTCTCTCGTCATCTTTCACCGTCTCTCTCTCGCCGTCTCTCTCCTCTCTCTCGCGTCTCTCTCACGCCGTCTCTCTCTCTCCTCTCTCGCCGTCTCTCTCTCTCGCCGTTTCTCTCGCCGTCTCTCTCCTCTCTCGCCGTCTCTCTCCTCTCTCTCGCTGTCTCTCTCTCTCGTCATCTCTCTCTCTTTCTCTCCCTCTCTCTCTCGCCATCTCTCTCTCTCTCTCTCGCCGTCTCTCTTGCCGTCTCACTCTCTTTCTCTCTCTCCCTCCTCACCTGCTTCCTATAAGGTAAACTATCCCTTCTCTCCCCCCTCCTCCCACTCACCATTTCTCCCTCTTTCTTTCCCTCTCTATCCTCTTCCTATAATTTAAGCTCTCTTTCTCCCCCCGCCCTACCTCTCTCTCCTTCCCCTAACTCTCCCCCCTTCCCCTCGTCTCCTTCCCTCATCCACCTCTGCCCCCCCCCCCCCCCCCCCCCCCCCCCCCCCTCCTGCTGGTAGGGCAGTTTTATATTAGATACTGCAGATACCTAGTGTATCACGTCAAGTCAAGATAATCCACTATATATAACCAGTAAACATAAACAGTTGGTAAACCAACCAGTAAATATAAACGGTATATATAATATATACAGTATAACCTGTCCAATGGACACATTAGACTGACAGCTATGGTGTGTCACACGGGGACATCCTTATACTGTTTGAATAGTCTAAAAAGGCGCCTGTGATTTGACTGTATGCGTACGTCCTTGTCTGTGTGTGTGTGTGTGTTTTATTCTATGTCCTTGTGTGTGTGTGTGTGTGGTCTCCCCACCAGTCTCCGTCCCATAAGAACACCAGGAGCAGGAGTCAGCAGCAGGAGGTGATAGCTGAGCTGAGGAAGAAGCAGGTGAAGGATACGGGCAGCCGCCATGTCTACGAGGGCAAGGATGGAGCCATCGAGGACATCATCACCGGTAAACAGGACCATGGCCAATCACCATCAGTTCTACAATCACACACACGTTACTCATACACATGCGAACGCACACAAACACACACACACACGTGTACACACACATGTGCGTACACATACTGTATGCGCGTACACACACACACACACACACACACATACACACACACACACACTGGGTGTTCTGCATGCAGGGCCTCTCCTGTGCTCTAATCCAGTCTCATTCAATCATTAACATGGGTTTCTAAACCACTAACAAATACGTTGCCTCTTAACTATTGAACTGTTTGAACTGTCAATGATTCAATCCTAAGGCTTTATTTAACCGTAATCATACGTTACAAACATGCATTGACAGTCCAGCTAACCCAACCTAGACACTTGGAGCCGGCGCAAATGTGCATATGATCATTATCTGCTATCTGTTGTCCTTCTTTGTAACAGTTAGTGTTGTAGACGGGCCGGGCTTAGAGTATAGTCCCCAGACCAGAGACCATGGCTGCGTCCCAAATGGCACCTTATTCCCTATGTGGTGCACTACTTTCGACCAGAGCCCTATGCTATTTGGAATGCAGCCCATGTATTGATCTGCTTTATTAAAATATATGACACTGAGAAAACGAATACATATTTTATTCAGTGAACTGCAATAAAATGTGCCTCTGAGGAATTGTTGTATACAACCCTAGGCCATTTACATTCTGTGTGGTGTGGCAATAACACTATAATTCTATATAACAATAAAACATAACCTTATTCTAACTGACAAGCTAAAAGCCTGTCTTGTAACATTTTAACGTTAGCACTCCATAAGATACAGTGGAATAGCTGTAGCGTAGCAACCCTACAGTTGCAAAATTCCGGTAATATCCCCAAAATTCCCAGGTTTTTCAGAAATCCCGGTTGGAAGATTCCCGAATTTCCTACTTATTCCTTACTGATTCCAGGGAATCTTCCAACCAGGATTTCAATAAGCAGGAAATTCGGTAATCCTCCAACCGGGATTTCTGGAAAACCAGGGAATTTTGGGAAAGTTCCCGGAATTGTGCAACCCTAAGCAGCCCTGTAGGCCTATAGTAGAATGTGTTAATGTGTCTCTGCTTCAGTCTTCTAATGCTGTAGGGTGTTAACCTGTTCTAAAACCCTGTAGATGTGTGCTTCTCCTTACTGTCATGTCTTAGCTGTTGTTGTTGTTTCAATGCAGTGCTGAAGACAGTGCCCTTTACCGCCCGCACAGCCAAACGGGGTTCTCGGTTCTTCTGCGAGCCGGCTCACAATGAGGAGTACCATTACTAAAGCTTAGAACTCTCTCTGAAAGGTTGCTGTAAATACAGTGCTCTCTTTCTTTCTTGCCTCTCTCTTTCTCCGTACTTTCACTGTGTGTTGTGTGTTCTCGCTCACTCTGTGGGTGTGTCACTGTCAGTCACTTGTGTGTGTATGTGGGGGGGGGTGGCGGGGGGGGGGGGGTGTTGGTGTCTCTGTCACCGCCCCTCCTATGAGGGGAGCATGAGGAGGGAGGGGTTTTGTGGGAGGGGTCGCTGATGTCAACTCCGTTACCCTGCATGACAAGTCATCCCCGTTATATACTTTCTCATCCGTTTGTATCATCACCCATAGCAAACCATAATGTCACAGAAATGTTCCTGTCAGGCCATTGATATTTGCCCTGAGAAGAGGGAGATGGGTAGATGGGTTAGAAACCATGTCTCACTCTAGCTGTATTAGTATAGAGTATATTAGAGTGTACAAAACATTATGAACACCTGCTCTTTCCATGACATAGACTGACCAGGTGAATCCAGGTAAAAGCAATGATCCCTTATTGATGTCACTTGTTAAATCCACTTCAATCAGTGTAGATGAAGGGGAGGAGACAGGTTGAACAAGGATTTTCAAGCATTGAGACAATTGACATGGGTTGTGTATGTGTGCCATTCAAAGGGTGAATGGACATGACAAAATATTTAAGTGCCTTTGAACAGGGTATGGTAGTAGGTGCCTGGTGCACCGGTTTGTGTGAAGAACTGCAACGCTGCTGGGTTTTTCACACTCAACGGTTTCCCGTGTGTATCAAGAATTGTCCACCACCCAAAAGACATCCAGCTAACTTGACACAATTGTGGGAAGCATTGGAGTCAACATGGGCCAGCATCCCTGTGGAACGCTTTCGACACCTTGTAGAGTCCATGCCCCTACGAATTGAGGCTGTTCTGAGGGCAAAATGCAGGGGGGGTGCATCTCAATATTAGGAAGGTGTTCTTAATGTTTAGTACACTCAGTGTATATCAATCGGACCGCATGGTAAGTGCCCTCTGCTGTTAATATAGCTGAAGTGCTTCCTAGACCGTAGCCCAACGGATTCTCACTTACTAGCATCCAATACGTATATATTGCATTACATATGTTATGTTGACCTGTATTAATGCCAGTAGTTATGTTATAAAGTATATAGTAGTTTTGCTTTAGTAGATGTAGGGTAATATTGTCAACATAGCAGAGTCGTTTAGCCTATAATTATAAAATAATTATATAATATTTTGTAAGTTAAGATGTATGACTCATTTTAAAATGGCTGTGGCATTATACTTTGCTTGTGTGTTAATCTGTCTTATCATGAAAACGGAGTATTGTGTTCATCATGTATTACTGCTGCTGTTTGGGTTTCTGCATGCCACTGGCTTTCTCCTGCTTCATACCCACAATGTCCCCTGTTCCCAGTTCCCCTAGCTCTGGTCCAGGGTGTTACATCTGTCTTGCTGATGCTGAGCCTTGAAGCTACACGTAACACTCTGGACCAGAGCTACAGTTCCCCCCCTTACCTTGTGCTTGGCGATGGATCACAATCTTATCACATGACTTTCTGTGGTCTGCCAGGTCACCTTTCTAACATATTGCATGAAGTATTATTTTCTGACACGTGTTCTCGGTCTTAAATGTCACATATCCATTGTGTGCCACTAACATACAGTCAGATACATTCATTGCTGTTTACATTTACATTTTAGTCATTTAGCAGACGCTCTTATCCAGAGCGACTTACAGTTAGTGAGTGCATACATTTTCATACTGGCCCCCCGTGGGAAACGAACCCACAACCCTGGCGTTGCAAGCGCCATGCTCTACCAACTGAGCTACAGGGGGGCTATACAGGGGTTTAGCAATTTAAAGGGAAAAGCCTCAGTATTTCTAAACATTTCCATAAATTACAGTTGAATTCACATCCTATCCCCGTGTATCTGGCTGAATGCATGCTGTTCTTTGGTTTTTGGTCTGTGTTCTATTCAATATTAACTTTTTTCTTGTATGTAACTATTCCAAAGCTTTCGTGCAAAGTTTGATGGTTAGCTCTTTTTGCTCATGCTGGTAGTCATTCTGCAAAGCAGCCTGGGTTTTGAGACACAGAAAAACAAATGCTTTGGTTTGTTCTCCCTTTGTGCCTGCTGTATCAGTTAACAGGATATCTTAGCTTTGGCCCTCTTAACACCCCTAGTCCTGTCTTATCCTATCCCCTGCATCCCCTCCCCCCCTCCCCTCCCTCCCCTCCCCTCCCCTCCCCTCCCCTCCCCTCTATTGGCTGCTTTGCTCGCTCAACGCTCCCACCGCTGCAAGGATACTGTGAAAATACTGGAGTGACCCCTCTGGTCACCCTGCTTCTTTAACCTCCATTTTGTCTTCTCTTCATCCATCCAGCCCTAAAGAAGAATAATATTACTAAATTTCCCAATGTCCACTCGAGGGTAAGGAATTCCTCCAATAGCACCCCTGTGGTGGTGGATGTGTCCCAGACCTGGCAAGCATCTCTTTTTTACCTCCCTTCCCTTTAAGTTACCTACCGCTGAGGGCTTTCCCTACTTCAGACTAGTCTGCCTGTTTTGGTCCCACTCCCTCCTTTCTGTTCACCCTCCATTTCCTAATTACAGTTTAGACAAGTATTGCATGTCTGAAATCAAAGAATGCAATATTCAATTTAAAATGCCCTTCATGGAAAATTGAAGACTTTTCTTGCCTTTTTGTTGTTTGTTAAACATGGGAAAGAGGAGAATGTACTTCTCCATTGACAAGGCTTGTATAAGAGGGCAGCCGTCCATAGCTTGTTTTTTTATTGATAGTGACAGAAGGAATAGTAAATGTGAAAAATTGTCACTCAATAAGGTATTTTCTTTGGACCTGTTTTTGTCTTTCGTCCAGAGAAGTGAACTGAGGGGGTAATGTTTCTGTAGAACTCAAGCTGCTTTGCATGACTGGCTGCCAACACAACCAGCCTCTGGGCACATCTGAAGGCCCTGGCAAGATGATTGACAACATCTTTTACCCCACCCCTCCCTTCCTCCCTCCATCCCAGATCTTCGCAATCAGCCTTACAGGCGAGCCGACGCGGTGAGGAGGAGCGTCAGGAGACGCTTTGATGACCAGAACTTGCGGCCGGTCAACAACTCTGAAGTCGTAATTTGACGAGGGAAAAGTGCATGTGCTAGGGGAGGGGTGAAGAGGGGGAGTGATGTGGAGAGTGTAGCAGCCTCTCACTCTGAAGGACTGAAGGAGAGATGGATGGACTGAAAGAGAGATAGATGGACTGAAAGAGAGATAGATGGGTCTGAAAGGTCAGTTATAGTGAACCTTAGACAAGCCAAGTGCCTAAAACTTGTTGTTTTGTCTCCTGTTTGTCTGTCTGGAGATTTTTTTTACTTCAAGCAATACAACTTGACCTGGCTTTAACTGTATTTTCCTTTGATATGTATACTGGACACAGTCGTCTGTAGCGGGGATTCCTGAAAGAGATTTTTCCTGAAAGAAGTGTAGAATGTAACGGGTCACGGTTCCGCCACAGAGGATGAATATGGTATTTCATAGCTAGTATCTTATTACATTCCTGGTGCTACTGCCATCGTTCTTGGAAATTACACAATGTGTTCGAGCGGCACTCTTAAGAACTCATTAGCTTTTCCATTGTTACTAAAGGGCTAATGTACTTTTTAAAGGGGACATACACTTTATATACAAAAGTATGTGGACACACCTTCAAATGACTGGATTCGACTATTTCAGCCTCACCCGTTGCATAAAATCGAGCACACCGCCATGCAATCTCCATAGACAAACATTGGCAGTAGAATGGCCTTACTGAAGAGCTCAGTGACTTTTAACGTGGCACCGTCATAGGATGCCCCCTTTCCAACAAGTCAATTCGTCAAATTTCTGCCCTGCTAGAGCTGGCCCGGTCAACTGTAAGTGCTGTTATTGTGAAATGGAAACGTCTAGGAGCAACAGCTCAGCCGCGAAGTGGTAGGCCACACAAGCTCACAGAACGGGACCGCAGAGTGCTGAAGCACATAAAAATTGTCTGTCCTCGGTTGTAACACTCACTACAAAGTTCCAACCTGCCACTGGAAGCAACGTCAGCACAATAACTGTTTGTCGGGAGTTTCACGAAATGGGTTTCCATGGCCGAGCAGCTGCACACAAGCCTAAGATCACCATGCGCAATGCCAAGTGTCGGCTGGAGTGGTGTAAAGCTCGCCGCCATTGGACTCTGGAGCAGTGGAAACACGTTCTCTGGAGTGATGACTCACGCTTCACCATCTGGCAGTCCGACAGACAAATCTGGGTTTGGCGGATGCCAGGAGAACGCTACCTGCCCCAATGCGTGCCAACTGTAAAGTTTGGTGGAGGAGGAATAATGGTCTGGGGCTTTTTCATGATTTAGGCTAGGCCCCTTAGTTCCAGTGAAGGGAAATCTTAACGCTACAGCATACAATGACCATCTTACACGATTCTGTGCTTCCTACTTTGTGGCAACAGTTTGGGGAAGGCCCTTTCCTGTTTCAGCATGACAATGTCCCCGTGCACAAAGCAAGGTCCATACAGAAATGGTATGTCAAAATCGGTGTGGAAGAACTTGACTAGCCTGCAAAGATCCCTGACCTCAACCCCATCGAACACCTTTGGGATGAATTGGAACACCGACTGCGAGCCAGGCCTAATCGCCCAACATCAGTGCCCGACCTCACTAATGCTCTTGTGGCTGAATGAAAGCAAGTCCCCGCAGCAATGCTCCAACATCTAGTGGAAAGCTTCCCAGAAGAGTGGTGGCTGTTATAGCAGCAATGAGGGACCAACTCCATATTAATGCACATAATTTTGGAATGAGATGTTCGACAGACAGGTGCCCACATACTTTTGGTCATGTAGTGTACACGTCTTAGGTTAGTATATTATGAAGCAGTGATCCAAAACGAATATGTTCAAAGAAAGTACTTAAGCAAGTATGAGGTAGACTTATGTACACCAACATATGACCACAGAGAAATCATATCAAAGACAATATAGCTCAGAGAGGTGTGGCTCTCTCAAGACGAGACCAGGCTAATGTGAATTGTATATAGCTAGGCCTCCATGTTACGGTTATTGCGGTATTAACATCTCATTTATCAGTGTTAACATGGTTAGTGGACCAAGCCGTGAATAGATAGAACTACATTGTCTGCTCATGTAGACCTCAAGTGCCATTCACATGCAATGCTGTTTAGTGGTTGGTGGGGCCTTGGAGCCACAATAGCTCTGGTCCAGGGCGTTGTTTGGTCGTACGATTGTGTGAGCACTGGCGAACAACACCCTAGACCAGAGCGAGAGACACAATTGACTCCGAGCGAATAGGAAAGGTGCTAAAAGAAAGACTTCTCAGCAGATACCTTTCCAGTGAAGTGTAGCAGCTGCAAGAAAGGCACTTTAGGCTACTTGAGGAGCTTGTCATGAAAACTGGATTACAAGATTTTTTTACTCTGAAAACTGCTATCGGCTAATGAATCTCTAGGAAACTGTCTACTCACTATTATTGTAAGTTTAATTTATAGTATTTAACCACTGAAAACTGTTTCCATTCAGTATTGCTCATGTGACCCACTGACGTGAGCGGCAGTCGTTTTTGATGGTGTTTAGGTATGTTAAAAAGATGTTGGAACAGACAAACAAAACTTTTTTTTTAATGTACAGATATTTAGATGAAAAATAGTTGCATTGTTTTGTACTTCTTAATCCACTCATTACCATATAAGGTTAATATTGTACATATTGTTTAAAACAAAGTTTACAACACCATGTCACCCTGTACTATACAATTTGAATGTTATTTTAACGTATCGTACCTTTTGGTCCATTTTGAATATTTAATTAAGCCGAAAACACAAATCTGGCTTCTCTTTAACATAAAAGGATCTAGTGTGTGAAACAGAATGCCCTGGTGTCACACTTGCCTGACAATAAAGAGGTATTAGATCAGTCTCTAATGGCACCCAATTCCCTATATAGTGCACTACTGTTGGCCAGAGCACAATGGGAACTGGACAAAAGTAGTGCTCTATATAGGGAATAGGGTGCCTTTTGGGACGTAACCCGTTGACGTTCAGAGAAGCTTCCTGTGGTCTTGGGACTGTAAATGTCCACATTATAGCATGTGCAACGAACCACTCATCTCTATACTTCCTATGTGAACTCAACCACTCATCAGCTTCACTCATTTGACTGGATAATAATGGCATGTTTTTATTTTCATAAATGTTTTTTTAGGCAATATGCGCTTATTACAAAATACTTTTGTTGTTAGATTCTGAGTTCTCAATGGATATGATCAAATAAACTATTTACAATAATGTGTGCATCTTTATTTCAATGTTTATCTTCCTCATTCGTTTAGCAGACAGCTGTTCAGATTCCCTCTGGTTTTCTACTGATAGAAACTTCTCCAGGGTTTTCTATCTTGTCATCTTTGTCTATGTAAGTACAGTAGCAATCATTACTCACTCATCCCTGTTGTGCCGACTGGCACATTGGACAGCAACCAAGGCTCTCCACTTGTCGGTCTCTGGCCAGCTCTGCTTATGTTGTTGGAGCTCAGTCTTGATTTATTCTGCGCCATGTTTTCTTGGGCCTCCCTATTACAGTAGTAATCATTACATACAATCTGCCTAGCATTTCACTGATCCACAGGAAACAGATACTAAGCCTAGTGAATGAGTTCTGAGAAGAGGTACTCATAACAGAGAGGGTAAAGGATGATCTAAGGAAATAATGAGTGCTATTTGTAGGAAACAAAAACATGTTGGTGGCTCGTGACTCAGTCATCGTACATGAAGACAAATCCATGTAAACTGTATTTTATTACATTTATAGATCAGGTCATGAGGACTTTCACAATTCCTCCAATTACAATTTATCAAACCAATCCTAGACATACCGCTAAGATTATTTCAAAAATATCTTGCTTCAGAGACATTTACCAGTTGTTTTGAAATCAAATATACAGAACATAAAGTATGGGGACTTCAATCTAGATGTGCACCTTTGCCAAATAGTTATTTGTCCCAAATGTCACCCTATTCCCTATATAGTGCACTACTTTTGACCAGAACCCCATGGGCCCTGGTCAAAAGTAGTGCATTATAATGGGAATAGGGTGGCATTGGAACTCAAAACGAAGAAAGTGTACTGAAAACTGCAAGTCACAGTAAAGAGCACGGTGTTAAGATGCGCTTTGAATCCATTTAGATATCAAAGAAAAACAATAACATCCAACTACAAATTACAGAGAGAAAGGATATTATCAAAGGCAACAAAAAGCTACATTTCTACACAGACCTTATTCTGATAAAGTAGTCACTCAGCTCAGCCTGTGACCACTTCCCATAATGAAAGGAAACAGCAAATATGTACCCAGCATTCTTGTGCTAGTGTGGCGAATTCATTCCCATTATACAAAACATATGGGGAATAGTTTACGTACAGTCGAAGTAGGGTTGCGAAATTCTGGTACACTCCCCAAAATTGCCAGGAATTAGGGGAATCTTCCAAGTGGGATTTCCTGAAAATCTGGGGTTATGGGAAAATGTACCGGAATTTTGCGGCACTAAGTCCAAGCATGTGTGGCATTACGCTGAAAAGGAAGCACTAGGGGGAATGCATGTTGGATGAAGTGAAGAAAGAGAGCGTGAGGAGAAACGGAGCATCAAGGAGCATCCAGCTGTTCTAGTAGAGTCCTCCTCCTCTTCTCCAGCTCTCCTTCACTTAGCTCGCTGCCTGATGTGTCCCAGCCACCCTACAGAAAGACAAGACATTAAAACCCACATTTTCCAACAATACTTATGAGGTGACGGAATGTCACCTTTTGAGGGTATTTTCATAGATCTGTTTTACTGTTTAGAAATTAAAGCTATGTATCTAGTCTCTCTTAAGGTGTCATAAGTATTTGGACAAATTCACTTGAAGTGTAGTAGCCCTTTAAAATGCCAGATTTGGGCGCTAATAAGCGCCTACATTGGAACATAGTGGCTGTACAGTAACGTGCTATACATGTCAGAGCTCTGGGCTTCACGGTTTTGACTGACAGCCGTTCTGAACTTCAGCACTGTGCATGACAAGAAGTTGCCCCCATCCCTCCCGGTAATTGCGTAACTTTAGCAAATGTTTTGTCTGAGTGAGAGAAATGCTGTAAATTAAGATGAGTATTTATTTTTGAAAGATGAGATGTTGAGCATTATAATAAATACAGCTTTGAGGTCATACAAGAAAGCCAAACACCCATGAGTCCAAATGTGCACTTCACATTTCCAAATCATAAAACTCATGTCATATACAGTTTATGATCACTATGTTTGATGTACAGGTACAAGATGGCATGGCATCATACCCTGGGTTCTGAATAGAATGAGCCTGTTTGTTTATTGTGAAGAAAATTTGCCGCGGCACACCATAGTATGTGAGTGGAGCGGAGCATGCCCAATTTGACTGGAGCGCTGAGCGAGATTCCCAAAGGCTGGAGCGTTGGCCTTCTCGCCCGCTCCAATTTTGCTCCAGTAGCGCTCACTTAACGAGCTCAGGGCATGCCCGGCCTAGCATGCATTTGTAGTCTACTTGTGTGCTGCGATAGCACCTTGCTTTAGCTACGGTCATGGAGTTCGCAAAATATTTTCATAAAGAAACTGATAGAACACACTGATGCTAAATTAAGGTGACTTACAAAGATGAGGACCAAGAGCAAGAGAGGGAGTGCGGTGATGTAGTGTCCACAACTAAAGAATCATTGTGGAATCT